CAACCAGGAAGGCGGAAACCGGAGCAGATCTACCACATTAATCTGCTAAAGGCCTGGAGGGACAGGGAATCCCTAGTTGCTGAGGGTTTGTCACCAGCGCCATCTAACTGCTTGGTTCCGGAGGTTGGAATAGCAGTCACGCTGTCTACAGTTCAAAAACAGGAGGCTAAAGAGTTTGTGCTCCGCAACACAGATGTTTTTTCTGAGCTGCCGGGACAAACCTCGGGGGTGGAGCATGACATTATCACCCCACCGGGTGAAAGAGTAAAACTGAAACCCTATAGAATCCCAGAGGCTCGACGGGAGGCAATACGTGGGGAAGTACAGAGAATGCTAGATTTGGGGGTGATAGAGGAGTCCCAAAGTGACTGGTCCAGCCCCATAGTGTTGGTGCCCAAACCAGATGGGAGCTGGCGATTTTGTAACGACTTTCGACAGTTGAATAAAGTTACAAAATTTGACACCTACCCCATGCCAAGGATAGATGAACTAATCGACCGACTGGGAGCAGCCCGGTACATGACAACGCTAGACTTGACAAAAGGTTATTGGCAAATTCCCCTAGCTAAGTCGGCAAAGGAGAAGACTGCATTTGTAACCCCAGAAGGGTCATTCCAGTATAAAAGAATGCCGTTCGGGTTACAGAATGCACCGGCCACCTTTCAGCGAAAAATGGATCAGATTCTTCGTCCCCATCAGAAGTATGCTGCAGCGTACTTGGACGATGTGATTATCCATAGCGCAGACTGGGCCTCACATTTGCCAAAAGTTCAGGCTGTGCTAGACTCAATACGGAAAGCTGGGTTTACGGCCAACCCAAAGAAGTGTACGATTGGACAGGAGGAGGCCAGGTACCTGGGGTACACTATTGGGAGAGGGGTAATAAAACCTCAGATAAACAAAGTGGAAGCAATACAGAATTGGCCACGCCCAAATAACAAAAAGCAGGTACGGGCTTTTCTAGGAATTGCTGGCTACTATCGGCGATTCATTCCCCATTTTGCTTCTATGGCAGTACCCCTAACCAACCTGACAAAAGGGAAGGAGCCTGTCATGGTTAAGTGGTCCCCTGATGCTGAAGCAGCCTTCCAGTCTTTAAAAAGGGCCTTATGTAGCCAGCCAGTCCTATACTCCCCAGACTTCTCAAAAGACTTTGTGGTCCAGACGGATGCATCCAATGTTGGCTTAGGAGCAGTGCTGTCCCAGGTTTGGCAGGGGGAGGAGCACCCAGTAATCTATCTCAGCCGAAAGCTAAAGTCTCACGAGGAAAATTACGCCACGATTGAGAAGGAGTGTTTAGCGGTGAAGTGGGCCCTAGATTCCCTTCGGTACTATCTGCTGGGCAGACATTTTGACCTGATCACAGATCACGCTCCCTTGAAATGGATGGCTCAAAATAAGGAGACCAATAGAAGGGTAAATAGGTGGTTTCTGGCCCTACAGGAATTTACCTTCACAGTGAAGCATCGCCCTGGTGTTCAGATGGGAAATGTGGATGCTTTATCCCGGGTACATGCCTGCCTGGCTACTGGTGTTACAACCCCAAGGTTGAAACAAGAGGGGGGGGTATGTGACAGTAGGCAGGTGAAATCACCTGGTTGCGTCCTGGATGGACGATATATTTGTCCAAGGTTCAGGCTTTATGGGGATTTGTACCACTAGAGGGAAGTGCTGAGTCCTTCAGCACTGAGGTAATGAGCCCAGCTGAAGGTAGTGGGCTCATTAAACACCTCTATAAAACCTCCCAGAGTGCTTAGGGAGTTGCTCCACCCTGGAACCAGATCTGTGCCTGAACTGTCTGGGGAGCTGACCTGTTACCTGTGTGCAGAGAGACCAAAGCCTGTGTGGCTAGCCTCCAAGTACTAGCAACTAGGTATAGCAGCAGGCTGTACCTAGTGGGTAGCTAGGGAGAAGCTGTTGTTGCAGTAAGTAGCCAAGTTGGCCAGGATTTATTTTGATGTTTCTTTTTGTTTATCATTTTTTTCTGTAAATATTGTAAATAAATTGCACCTGTTTGTTTTCACCTCCACTATTGTTGTGCTGTGCCTATTTTTTTTTTGTGTTGTGCACCCATCCAGGGGGTCACACACACCCGCTGCCGAGCTAACCCTGTTACACTTGTTTAAAGTTTGCTGCACAACATTTAGACAAGCCTGTAAGATACTGGGAGAATATAGTCTGGTCAGACGAGACCAAAATTTTACTCTTTGGATGCCATAGTACACACCATGTTTGGAAGTCAAATGGCACTGCACATCACCCCAGAAACACCATACCAATAATGAAGTTTGGAGGGGAACAGCATGGTGTGGGGCTGTTTTTCAGCTTACAGTACTGGCAAATGTCATGTCATTGAAGAAATGATGAATGGAAAAATGTACCAAGACATTCGTGATAAAAATCTACTGCCATCTACCAGGATGATGAAGATGAAACCGAGGGTGGACATTTCAGCAAAACAATGATCCCAAACACAAAGCCAAGGAAGCTCTCAATTGGTTTCAACGAAAGAAAATAAAGCTGCTAAAATAGCCCAGCCATCCACCTGACTTGTATACCAATAGAAAATTTATGGAAAGAATCAAAGATCAGAGTTCAGAAAAGAGGCCCATGGGACCTTCAAGACTGTTTGTGTGGAAGAATGAGTCAAAATCACCTGAGCAATGCATGTGACTAGTTTCTCCATACAGGAGGCGTCTTGAAGCTGTCATTACCAACAAAGGATTTTGTATGATGTATTAAAGTGTTACTAAACCTAGGACCCTGCATTCATTTTATCTGGCCTCCCACAGTACACAGAACATGGAAGTGAAATTATTTTGGTAAATATAAGCTGCGAAATACCTTTTCTCATCAGCAGTTAGAGCAGTCTTGTGACTTTAGCAGAGCACTGGTTAAAGTTTCTAGGAGGGGTTTTCTTTCTGCTCTGAGGATGGAAAACCCCTGACCCTCTGGAGAGTGCTGATTGGCCCTGTGCTAATCACATGCACTCTTCCAAGGAAAAAAAAACCTCTCTAGCAATGCACATCAAACTGAACATGTGCATGTGGCTAAGGACATTTGACCAAGAGGAGGGGCAGAGAAAAGAGGATCAAATGGCCTTTTTACACAATGCAGACCCCTTATAGTGGGGTAAAAACGTATTTAGTCAGCCACCAATTGTGCAGGTTCTCCCACTTACAAAGATGAGAGATGCCTGTAATTGGCATCATAGGTAGACCTCAACTATGAGAGAAAAAAATCCAGACAATCACATTGGCTGATTTGGAAAGAATTTATTTGCAAATTATGGTGGAAAATAAGTATTTGGTCAATATCAAAAGTTCATCTCAATACTTTGTTATATATCCTTTGTTGGCAATGACAGAGGTCAAACGTTTCCTGTAAGTCTTCACAAGGTTGGCACACACTGTTGCTGGTATGTTGGCCCATTCCTCTATGCAGATCTCCTCTAGAGCAGTGATGTTTTGGGGCTGTCGCTGCGCAACACAGACTTTCAACTCCCTCCAAAGGTTTTCTATGGGGTTGAGATCTGGAGACTGGCTAGGCCACTCCAGGACCTTGAAATGCTTCTTACGAAGCCACTCCTTTGTTGCCCGGGCGGTATGTTTGGGATCATTGTCATGTTGGAAGACCCAGCCACGTTTCATCTTCAATGCCCTTGCTGATGGAAGGAGGTTTGCACTCAAAATCTCAGGATACATGGCCCCCTTCATTCTGTTCTGTAAATGGATCCGTCTTCCTGGTCCCTTTGCAGAGAAACAGCCTCAAAGCATGATGTTGCCACCCCCATGCTTCACAGTAGGTATGGTGTTCTTTGGATGCAACTCAGCATTCTCTCTCCTCCAAACACGACGAGTTGTGTTTCTACCAAACAGTTCTATTTTTGTTTCATCTGACCATATGGCATTCTCCCAATCCTCTTCTGGATCATCCAAATGCTCTCTAGCAAACTTCAGACGGGCCCGGACATGTACTGGCTAAGTAGGGGGACACGTCTGGCACTGCAGGATCTGAGTCCCCGGCGGCGTAGTGTGTTGCTGATTGTAGCCTTTGTTACGTTGGTCCCAGCTCTCTGCAGGTCATTCACTAGGTCCCCCTGTGTGGTTCTGGGATTTTTGCTCACTGTTCTTGTGATCATTTTGACCCCACGGGGTGAGATCTTGCATGGAGCCCCAGATGGAGGGAGATTATCAGTGGTCTTGTATGTCTTCCATTTTCTAATTATTGCTCCCGCAGTTGATTTGTTCACACCAAGCTGCTTGCCTATTGCAGATTCAGTCTTCCCAGCCTGGTGCAGGTCTACAATTTTGTTTCTGGTGTCCTTCAACAGCTCTTTGGTCTTCACAATAGTGGAGTTTGGAGTGTGACTGTTTGAGGTTGTGGACAGGTGTCTTTTATACTGATAACAAGTTTAAACAGGTGCCATTGATACAGGTAATGAGTGCAGGACAGAGGAGCCTCTTAAAGAAGAAGGCACAGGTCTGTGAGAGCCAAAAATCTTGCTTGTTTGTAGGTGACCAAATACTTATTTTCCACCATAGTTTGGAAATAAATTCTTTCCAAATCAGCCAATGTGATTGTCTGGATTTTTTTTCTCATTTTGTCTCTCATAGTTGAGGTCTACCTATGATGCCAATTACAGGCCTCTCTCATCTTTTTAAGTGGGAGAACTTGCACAATTGGTGGCTGACTAAATACTTTTTTGCCCCACTGTAGGTTCCACAGTGAGCATAACAAGCATGCTTTACTGCATATACACACTGATTTTTACTGTTGTGGGTTTAGTAACACTTTAACCACCTTCCCGCCCGCCCTATAGTACAATGACGGGGCGCAAGGTAGTTCTCTTGTTCTGATAGGATGTCATATGACGTCCTACCATTCTCCCTGCGCATGCGCAGCTCAGGGAGCGCGCAGCGTGGCAATCGCCGGTCCGCTGTGTCCCTTGGACACAGTGGATCACGGAAAGAGCCAAAGTTGTCGGCTCGGTCATGTGATCAGCTGTGTCCAATCACAGCTGATCACATGTAAATACGGAAATGCCGGTTATCGGCATTTCTCTCCTCTCGAGCTGTCACGCTGACAGCTCGAGAGGAGAGCCGGTAATCGGCTTTCCCGGAGGGGACATGTACACTGATCATCAGGGCACAGTGTGGCCCCAGAAGTGCCACCTGTCAGTGCTCATCAGTGCCAGTGCCCATCAGTTCCACGTGCCAGTGCCCATCAGTGCCACATCAATGCCACATATCAGTGCCCATCTGAGCTGCCTTTCAATGTCACCCATCAGTGCCAGGCAGTGCCACCTATCAATGCCAATCAGTGCCGCCTATCAGTGCCTGTCAGTGCCGCCTAACAGTGCCTGTCAGTGCCGCCTAACAGTGCCAGTCAGTGCCGCCTATCAGTGCCAGTCAGTGCTGCCTATAAGTGCCGCCTATCAGTGCCATATCAGTGTCATGTATCAGTGCTGCCTTTCAGTGCCCATCAGTGATGCCTTTCAATGCCCATCAGTGCAACCTACAAGTGCCTCCTCATCAGTGCCCATCAGTGCCACCTATCAGTGCCCATCACTGCAGCCTCATTAGCGCACATCAGTGAAGGAGAAAAATCACTTATTTACAAAATTTTCTAACAAAAACTAAGAAAAACTTTTTTTTCCCAAATTTTCAGTGGTTTTTGGTTTGTTTAAGAAAAAATAAAAATCCCAGAGGTGATTAAATACTACCAAAAGAAAGCTCTATCTGTCTCAAAAAAATTATAAAAATTTCATATGGGTACAATGTTGCATGACCGCGCAATTGTCTTTCAAAGTGTGACAGCGTTGAAAGCTGGAAATTGGCCTGGGCAGGAAGGGGGTATAAGTGCCCTGTAGGCTAGTGGTTAAATAAATTTCAGTTAGCGTATTCAATCCTTTTCCCGGTGTCATTCCATTTTATAATACATAACTTAAATTCTGAACCTATTTGTTTTAGTTCCTTTGTATGTATGAATTGCATGAGTTGTTACCAATATGTGGTGAATATTTCATGTCAATAACACCTTCAGAAATATATTTACTGAGAAATATGATGACGTGTTCAATACTTATTTTTACTGCTGTATGTGTACATATGGGAACGTCACCATCAATGTCTATGACCATCCCTATACATGTGTACATATGGGAATGTCAGCCGTCAACAATATCTATGGCCATCTCTATGCAGCACTACCCCCTGAGGAGTTGCTGGAGATTTGGGTCCCCATATAGTCCTGTACAGCCAGGCAACACACATTTCCTTACAGCCTTGCACTCCAGAGACAGTAAACAGTCCTTGAACTTGTTTTTTTTTATTTTATTAAGGAATTTAAACTTGTATGAGGATGAGGGTGACGGGATGCCCAAGGAACAGCTCGTCAGCGTGACAGCTCGAGAGGAGAGAAATGCCGATAACCGGCATTTCCCTGTTTACATGTGATCAGCTGTGATTGGACACAGCTGATCACATGACCGAGCTGACATCTTTGGCTCTTTCCGTGATCAGTGATCCTCTGTGTCTGAGGGATACAGTGCACCGCCGATCGCCGCGCTGCGTGCTCCCTGAGCCGCGCATGCGCAGTGAGGATGGGAGGACATCATATGACGTCCTCCCAGAACGAGAGAACCACCTTGCGCCCATCATATTACTATATGGCGGGTAGGAGGTGGTTAAAAAATGACTTAAAATCTTGAATTCAGATGGGCACATGGTCCGTAAGGGGTTTGGGGCCCACACAATCTCACACACTGCACACATTGGGACACTGCTGCACCCTTTTATATTGTGGTTTCTAGTCTAGACAAATCACAGAGCCTAGAAGAGTGCTTTGAAACTCCTCCCTCAGCTGTCATTGGTTTCAAAGACCGCCGACGTCCCTACAACGTATGGGTGGTGTATATGGCACCATTCGCTTGGAAGTGTAATGGCTGTAACTTATGGGTCTCCTGGAATTGATCCATGTGATGCTTGAACCAATGTACGGTTTCTGTAGCATATAAGCTACAACATAGCTCCCAACTGTCCCCAATTTCAAAAAAGTCCCTCTCTCCCTCTTTACCCCTCATTTGTCCCTTGTTGTGGTCTGATCTATGTAGTTGTATATAAAATATACTATTTATCTTTCAACAAATGTTTAAAAGTTGCTAAACGGTGCTAAATCTTTCATCCAGTTTCTAAATTGTTGCATTTGTAAATTTCAAAAGCCAGTTGAAACGAAATTGTAGTGGGAAAAAATGCACTTGTGGGGTTAAATTGGGAGGTATGGCTATATACCTATATCCTTTACTGGAGTCATCTAAAGGAGGTGTAACTGCTGTCTTGGTACATACAGTACATGTACATACAGTTCAAAAAAAGAGGCTAGTGCTACACCTGGTCTACTTGGAAGGGGGGCCCTGATATCAAGGGGACTATAAGGGGTCGTGTAGACCCTATAGACTGTGCAGATATGGTAACACCCTGGCTACATCTAGGAAAAAAAGATGCTGTAGCTATAGGATGAAGATGTGACACACAGAGGAGGTCTGTGTAGTCAGGGGACTATAAGGGGTAGTAAAGATCCTATACACTGTGCAGAGGTGGTAACACTCTACAACATCTAGGAGTTGATTCATTGTATCCATAAGCTGAAAATGTGTCCTGAAGGAGAACACACAGAGTGATCTGGGCAGCCAGGGGGCTATAAGGGATAGTACAGAGGAAGTATAGATCCTATACACTGTGCAGAAATGGTGACTTCACAGATCTGATGTGGTAAGGATATCAACTTTCATAAGGTAGTACATTCCTCCTCCAAGAAAAAATTTGCTCACCTGGAGGACTGTAGGTTAGACTCATTAGTTCTGAAAAGCTCACATTTTAGGAATCTGGAAATGTGTAAATTGTATTGATACAATGTAAACATAGGGCACACGTCTAGAGATGATGTGATGAATGTATCCTAACACTTGCCTTTATTATACTTCCAAGATACTGGATTTCTATCAAGATTTGAATCTGTAACAATAAAAGATCTTGTGATGGAGGTGGGGGGGTGGTAGTTTTCGTTTTCCTTTGTTTTCACCTGGGGATCCTGCCAGTAACTCACTTCCTGTCCTAGGGTAACAACACTCACTGTACTGAATCTATGGAGGATCTATATTGTCACATTAGGCCAGGAAGTGTGTTATGGGAAGAATTCTGTAATCATAACATAGTGTGGAGATGTTTTGTAGTCCAATGCTACAAACAATGCTAATGGAAAACAGTGAAGAGGCAACAAGACCAGAAAGTTATCAGTTCACTAGATGATTTCTGGATAGATCAAAAGATTTTGGCACTTATAGAACAGATATAACAAAATGGTATATTTATCAGACCAAAAAAGAGAAAATACATTAAAGCTGAACTCCAGGTATAGCATTTTTTACATACAGTAGCTACATTGGTCCAGTTTGGATCAATATATGTGTGTATATAAAATACCTGTGGGATTTCTGGGGAAGCTGTAAATCACTGTAGCAGGCACTGCTGCTCCAATGTTTACTGCTAGCCTTCAGGTCCTGTGGCAAGCACCTGACCCACTCCTTTCTGAACTCATAAGGGTGCCTACTCGGCACAGGCGCCATTCAGAGAATGCTTTAATTTTCTCAGTGCATACAAAGTGTTCACTGATTGGATGAGGTGAAAATCATGGCAGCCACTCAGCACAGGACCCAGAAGGCAGCGTTGATAGTAGCCATGCCTACCATAGTCATTTCCAGCTTCCACAAGGATCCCACAGGTATGTCACATGCACAGATACATTGGTCCAAACTGGGTCAATGGAACTAATTGCCATACTTAGAATTCATCTTTAAGTCCCACAAACAGTAATGGGCTGAAGATGCCTGCTTGACCCATAGAAAACCCAACCCCTGCAGTGAAGTAGTCCTTACTGAATAATAATATTATTATTAATAAAAAAACTGGGAAAACTTAGGGTCCAGTACGTTAATTAAAAAAAATGTTTTCTAACCACATCCTGACTGCCCTATAGTAGATATACTGCTACAGGGTGGCAGGGGTGCACAAAATCATGTGTGTGTGTGTATATATATATATATATGTGATTTTGTATCACTGAGTAGGGGGCATGCGTGAGCTGAGCGTGCGCCCTACTCGCACCGCCATTCGCGGCCGCAGCTGAAAATCACCGGGTCCCAGCCGGTGATTACCCGCCGGCGCTCGGTGGTTTCTGAGCATCTCTGACGGGGAGGAGAACAGCTTTGTTTACCAACAGTCCTCCTACCTGTCGGCTCGGGCACACTGCACTGGATGCACAGCACAGCTATCCAGAGCAGTGTGTTTACAGTGAAGCACCAACACACAGCCCCCCAGTAAAACACTCCCAGCACACAGTTAACCCTTTGATCACCCTTCATGTTAACCCCTTCCTGCCCAATGCCATTAGTACAGTGCCAGTGGGGTTGTTTTTAGCACTGATCACTGTATTGGTGTCACTGGGAATGCTGAGTAAGAGGGAAGGAGGAGGAGGTACAGGGTGCATTCTCTTCTCCTCCAGCTCTTCCGTCCGGTCACATTTACAAGCTAACATAGATAATAAGTTAAGAAGAGGAGAGCAGCTGACTACATCCCCTGGATTTCTCTGTGTGGTGCACAAAGCTTGGGGGTAGGGGAGCTACCCAGAAGCATGGTAGAATGCTCCCGGAAAGTCTACATACATGGGAGAGCTGAGCCAGAACACAGGACAGAGAAGGGAAAGATAAAGGAGACAGTGGCAATATAAAATATAACAGGTAAGGTGTATCAAGTAAATAGATATCCAACATGTCAAGCCTTAAAACTGGGCATTTCCCTAAATAGGTGATAAACTTTGGTATCCATAATTTTCCAAAGGCAACACTTTAAAATCTTTTACAGCTCATCAGTTTAGAGTTAACTGTCAAAATTTGGCCTAGAGTTATTGCTCTCACTCTGACATGTGTAGCAATGTGTAACATGTGTAGTACAACTGATGTTTTTGTATGTAGATGCCTCTGATTTGTGTTTTTCTGCAAGTATGTGTGTGTATATGGGAGCTATTGGTGGAACTACCAGGATTGCAAAGGTTGCACTTGCAACCAGGCCCTGGGAAATGTGGGGGTCCCAGATGACAGGAAGGGCATCAGGGACGCTCAGTGAAGAGACTGCCCGGCGCTGTCTTAATCTGTGGTGATTGGGGCAAACATGGAGTGACAGTCATTCTTCCTCATATACACAATGCACCGCCATTCCAGTCACTAACACAGTGGACTTAGAAATGCCATAAAGCATTACCCAAAGGTCATATATCAGGATATGTTAACCACAGTCCGAGTCAGAGACAGACTGCAAAGACTGGGTCACAAATGAAGACGTGCCACAGCTGTAGACCTGGAGAGTGCTTTGCAGCTGACAAAGTAACGAAGGGTCTAAAAAGCACCACGATTCAGAGAGCAGTGTCTTAAGGCGACAGACCAGGTCATCCACCATATACAGGGGTTTTTCACACAGGGAGTGATCGGAAACTGGGTTACACCAGAGGCTACGCCATGGCTCTGAAACTTGAGGGCACTCTGTAGCTCGATGACACAGTCCACATGGGTCTGGAAACTGACAAAATGCAAAGCTCAGTGCTCAAAGATCATATTCCAATCTCATGGGCTTAATCACTGAGGCTAGGTTCACACCTATGCAGTTTGCATTTCATCCGTTTCTTCAGTGCTTTTTGTGGTGCGTCTTGTGTTTTTGCACATGTGTTTTTGATGTGTTTTCCATTTTTATAGGGTTTTTTTTGGCCAACTTGTTGCTGGGCTGATTAAAACGCAAAACACATAAAAAATGCACTACATGCATTTCTGCAGCATCTCCATTAAAGCCTATTGAACCAAAACGCAATATTTTGGATTTAAGAAAGTCCCTGACCCTTTCCAAAAATTGCACCGGATGAAAAGAGATGTGAACGTGTCCCATAGGAAATCATGTTAAATGGACTGTAGTGCATTTCTGCAAAATGCACCACAAAACGCTTAGGCATGTACCTAGCCTAAATGAGTCTTCAGAGATTGGGTCATGGCTCTGTTGCTAACTAACACAGTACACTAAAGTGTGGAAAGAACCACATGCAGAGCACAATGGAAAAAGACAAATTGCATGCAGTCCCTTCAATCTTCAATCCTCATGCCTGTATAGAAAAAAAAATATGCAAAAGCAACATTTCAGGCAGCCACAGGCATCAGTGAAGCATGGTTAACAGCAGCTTTGGAATCCATGCCAGGGGCACTCTGGAGGGGACGTTGGACCTTCTCATCCACCCCCCCCCCATATATCTATGTTCCTGCATGAAATAACACAATAGAATGGCAGGCTTATTTGCATCTACTAAAGCATTTATTTTAAAAAAAGTTGCCATATGCTGCATACGTGATCAAATGACAAACTTGTAAAAGCATGAATAAAAATGTAGTTTATAATCTATGCAATAGAAAAATAGTTACATATTTTGCAAGAAAAATACACATATTGTCAGCATGTAACACATACAGTATGAGATCTATTTATAAAACCTGCAAAAGTGTAAATTTTTGGTTTCCTGCACAATTTTCACAATTGTGCTTGTCAATTTTACTATATTGCTTGGCATCCTTCAAATTTTTAAATTTGAAGTTACAGTGGAACCATGGTGAAAGACAGACTTGAAAAAACTTCATGAAAAATTAAAGTGTTACTAAACCCAGGACTCTGCATTCACTCTATCTGGTCTCCCACAGTACACACAACATGGAAATGCAATTATTTTAATAAATATAAACTGCTAAATACCTTTTCTCAACAGCAGTTAGAGCAGTCTTTTGACTTCTATCAGTATCCAGCAGAGCACTGGTTACAGCGTTTCGGAGTTTTCATTGTGGTCTAGGAGGATGCAGAACCCCTGACCTCTGCCTGGACAGTGCTGATTGGCCCTGTGCTGATTACATGCACTCTCCCAAGAAAAAAAAAACTATCTAGCAGTACATACCAAACTGAGCATGTGCAGCTTGTTCCTAGCATCTGTTCTATCAGGAGATATTTGGGAAACACTGGAAGAAAGGGATGATCAGAGAAGGCAGGATCAAACATAATTTTTACACAATGTGGAGGATTAACCCCTCAGGTTCCACAGTGAGTATAAAAAGCATGCTTTACTGCATATACAGACAGATTTTACTGTTGTGGGTTTAGCAACACTTTCATTCACCACCTTGCCTTTGGTAAAATGAATAAATTGCCCTAGATTTAGAGTGGTATGAATTATGGTCAAAATATTAGATGGCCAAACTCTGCCTACACAATAGATGTTGAACCCCCCCTCCCCCCCTTTGTTGGAATATGGTGATTGTGACTGCAAAAATTGCCAAGGCCAGCTGTATACATATGCACACTAGTGAAAATTGATATTTTCCACAAAAAAAGATGATGAATTTGAGTGTTTTATAAATAGACCCCGTTGTCTTTTCTTTGTTTTTTCAATCAAAAGAATGTATAAACGTGAAATGTTATGTGTTGTATATTAGTTTTCTTTGTGTTATTGCGTCTTATCAGCACTCAGTTTCCTCTTCTTAATGTCGATATCCAGCTTTAGGTTTTCTATCTGGAGGTAGAGGTACTGCACCTGCAGATACTTGATCCACTCATCTGGGGTTGATGTGCACTTTCTAGCTTCTTCTTGCAGTTCCCAAATGTGATCACATATGGATGCTGTGAGAGAGGATATTGATTATTGCTACGCATACTAGAAGATTTACCTTATAATCATTTTAATTAATTGAATCCATAAATTAAACCTCAGCTCCCTGGCTTTAACTTAAAATTAGTTTTCTTTTTTCTGAATACATAGTTTTTTTTCTTATATGCAAAATAGTAATATCCAAGGAATATGCATGATATCTAAGATGTATTTTAATTTCAAATAAGTGTGTTTGTTTTTTTGCTGCTTAGAAGAAGTGTAGGTCGCAAAAAGGTGAGGTGGCCAAAAAAGAGTCCACCTGCAGGAATACATTTTAGCCCCATGCAATTATAAATGTATAAGATCTACTCATATCCAAACACTTTTGCCTGCACTAAAATACCTTTATGTTCAATGTAACACCAATTTGATTGAAAGCAGCCAATGGTTCCAGAAGCCCCAACAAAGCCAGTGAGACTCGGAAGTGAAGGGAGAGATGAGCTGAAGACGTGCATGGTGCTGGATCGAATGAGGGCCCAGGTATTTAAAGGGGAGGGGGAGCCAAAACGGATGCCTAAACATTTTTTACTATAATGCAAGGAATGCATTAAGGTAAAAAATGTTAAGGCTTTAGAACTGCTTTAATAAACAGTCCATAAGAAGGGACTTCTTTTCAATCTCATTTTGCACCATTGTTGATCCCAAAAAAGCACTTCCTTTACTACAGAACACCTTAAACTTGGACACCGTTACATTTTCTCACTTTCAGAAACCGAGCAGAACTGTAGCAGTCTGTAGCTACAGGATTGTATGCGATAATATTTCACTGTTTACTTTCTATACTTTTTTCTTTGTACCTTTAATTTCTCTTCCTTTAAACTCCCAAAGAACATACATTTAAAATTTAGGATTCTCCCACTAGACTAGTAGACAATAAATACAAAAAAGGGGTGGGGGGGTTAATTGGCCTAAAGAAGAACTCCGCCCATCTGATGCACTAGGCATCATTTCACTTCTACACCCTCCACAAATGTGAAACATTAAAAAAATTGTTTGTTTATAAGTTTATATAATATTCTAGGTAGGCTCTACCCTGGTCACCTTTGTAGCCTACTTCAGAATGATATCTTCTGTGCTCTGAAGCCTCCTGGGATATGTACATCATATATCCCATGATGCTTCAGGCTCCAGTCATGCAGGCAGAGGTGGGGGGACCCAGGGGCATGCAATCCGGGGTCCAGGCTGCCTGAACAGGGAGAAGCATCTGGTGACATCAGAAATCAAGACGGTGATGTGTGACAGTGGTGCAGTGAATCATAGCAGGACAACGCTGGATTCGCCTGCTGGGAGGGTATGTGAATTCTGTATTGTACTAATGAAAAAAGAAAAGAGGGTAAAAAACATGGAACGTGGGGGGAATGAAGATCCTCTTTAATGTGTATATAAAGCCAAAACAATACTATTTAGTTTATATGAGAGTAGGGAATAGTTAGTACATTCATAGTTTCCCATTTTGGGATATTTCCATTCAATTGCTGTCCTGGAGACACAACAAAGTGGAACAGGTGTCTTTATTGTAAGATTTCACCTGTATTCCTGTTCTATTGACAAGTGTAAAATTTTGTATTTCCCATCACTTTCTGTCCCAGTGACAGTGGTCACCAGGATTAAGAGCGAGAGAGAATATTTCCAGGGGGTGTACAGACTTTGATTAAAAAAAAAAGCTGACAGTGGTTCTAACTCTTCTTCTCTATCTAGAAATAACGAAAAAAGATTTGCTCTTTAACCACTTCCCACCTGGCCTATTGACGACTGGATGGGACTTTCCTTGTTCAAGGTGGATGTCGTATGAAGTCCTCCTGGAAGGTGCTTGCACGTGGCCATGCAGCCACGCTGTGGGCGCGATCTGCCACCCATTGTGTCCACCGGACACAGCCAATGACGCAGCCAATGACAAAGCAATGTACCGGACTGCGATACCATGTGGTCACTGTGACCAATCACAGCAGATCAGATAACAATTGTAAACGATGAATGGCTTACTTTCATACCATTCATTGTGTACAATTATGTTACTAGCTGTGATTGGTCACAGTGATCACATGGTACAAACAGGGCCAATTACAGCCTATCTGTACCATGTGATTAGCTGTGGCCAATCACATCTAATCACAATACTTACTAAATGAATCGATTTAATTCAGTAAAATGCTTACTCATAGCAATGAAATTCACAGCTATAAAAAAATCATAATATGTAAAAATTATATATATAAAACATTGTAGAACATGTAATAAAAATAAAAAAAATTAAAAAAATATTAATTTTTTCTCCATACTGTCACCAGTCAGTGTCCCTAATCAGTGCCACACCAGTTATATGATGACACTGTACTGCACTGGTGACAGTGTATAAAAAAAAATATGAAAAATGTTTGTTTGTTTTTTTTAATTTCTTCATTTTTCAAAAAAATTACAAAAAATTGCAACTTCCAAAAACTTGCCACGCCTCTTACTAAAGAACTTGGACTGTCTTCTTTCCAAAAAGGGGTGATTTGGGGGGTATTTGTACTGTCCTGACATTTTTAAGGTCTTAAGAAATGAAAACACACATTCAGTACATCAGGACTGATCAATTTTCACACATATATACCATAGTTTGTAGACTTTATAACTTTCCTACAGGTTAAATATTACATGTTGACCTAAATTTATGAAAAACATTTATTTGGAAAAAAAATAACCCAAATCAGTGTATATTATTTACCTTGTGTGAAAGTTATAGAGTTCACAAGCTATGATATATATATATATATGAAAATTGATCAATCCTGATGTACTTACCACCTGGTCCTAAGATGCCAGGACAGTACAAATAACCCACAAATTACCCCTTTTTGGAAAGTAGACTCACCAAAGTATTTAATAAGAGGCATGGCAGGTTTTTTAAGTTATAATTTTTTTTGTCACAAATTTTTTGGAATATGAAGAAATTAAATATATAATTTTTATTATTTATTTTTTACATACTGTCACCAGTGCAATATAGCATCTTCATATGCTTGGTGTGGTGGTGATCAGGGATGACTAATGACTGTATGTAAAAAAACACGTTGAGGGGGGCTTGAACTTGTGACTAATGATAGTGGGTAAAAAAATGCGTTGGGAGGGGCTTGAACTTGTGAAATTATCACGCCCGCCAAGGAGGCTTGCGGGCAAGGCATCAGTGGCTTTTGTGCTTGTGTTCTGCTTTTAATATGTGAGTACCTGTCTTTGTTTTTATTAAATATATGCCTCTGTCTTCTTCTTTGATGTAAATGGTCTGCCTGGGTTTTTTATCTTGGAGCTGCTCAGCTTGGCGGTTGGGTGAGGACTATGGCAGATTACCTAAAGGCGTTTGTCATGTCACATGCTATAATGAGCTCTGTTACTGGAGATGCAAAGTATCTGGTAAGAGGCTCATTTGTGGTGGAGGGCACAAGGTTGCTTGGAGTGTTTTCTCACACCACTATTCACGCTGCTGTGGGTGAATCCAGGAACCTGCACATTCCATTAAACTTGGTGGATGGACTTTTTGTGCTTTTTGAAAAAATTTTTTTATATATTGATAGTTTTCACATCCAATTTATATAAAAGTTTTGGATTGTTCACATTTATAGGAACCTGATTGCCTGGTACTACTGTACTAGTTGATCCAGTACAGGCAAACGCACTGCATTTGCAACCTGCATTTGGGGTGCCATTAAGTTAATATTGACATTCACTGCAAGTTGCCAGTGCAGTGCGTTTTGAACGTGGTGCAGGAAACACACTCGGATTGCAGGTTTTCTGCACTGTGTTCAGGTGTGAACTGGCCTTTACAGCAGGTCAATAAATGTAATGTTGATGGAAGTCCCTAAATCTGCCACACATTCTTTTTTCTGATTTGAATACCATTTATTACTTTTTTTTAAATACCTGCATTCTAAAAGGCTTTTTATAACCTACTTTTTCAAACAGTATTATGATTTATACAAATGTTTTCCAGCACTATGCAAACATTTGGCAACCAACAGAATTATTTTTTTTATACACATGTCATTTAATACACTGCTCAAAAAAATTTAAGGAATACTTTTTAATCAGAGTATAGCATCAAGTCAAATAAACTCCTGGGATATTGATCTGGTCAGTTAAGTAGCAAAGGGGGTTGTTAATCAGTGTCAGCTGCTTTGGTGTTAATGAAATTACCAACAGGTGCACTAGATGGGCAACAATGAGATGACCCCCAAAACAGGAATGGCTTTATAGGTGGAGGACACTAAAATGTTTTTCCCTACTCATCTTTTCTGACAGTTTTTCACTAGTTTTGCATTTGACTAGGGCCAGTGTCAACACTGGTAGCATAAGGTGATACCTGGACCCTACAGAGGTTGCACAGACAGTCCAATTCCTCCAGGATTGCACATCAATATGTGCCATTGCCAGAAGGTTTGCTGTGTTTCCCAGCACAGTCTCAAGAGCATTGGAGGAGATTCAAGGTGACAGGCAGTTACCCTAGGAGAGCTGGACAAGGTCATAGAAGGTCCTTAACCCATCAGCAGGACCGGTATCTGCTCCTTTGTGCAAAGAGGAACAGGATGAGCGCTGCCAGAGCCCTACAAAATGACCTCCAGCAGGCCACTGGTGTGAATGTCTCTGACCAATCAATCAGAAACAGACTCCAGGAGGGTGGCCTGAGGGCCCGACATCCTCTAGTGGGCCCTGTGCTCACTGCCCAGCACCATAGAGCTCAATTGGCATTTGCCATTGAACACCAGAATTGGCAGGTCCACCACTGGTGCCCTGTGCTTTTCACAGATGAGAGCAGGTTCATTCTGAGCACATGTGACAGATGTGAAAGGGTATGGAGAAGCCATGGAGGATTATATGCTACCTGTAACATTGTTCAGAATGACTGAGGAGGCATATCCATGGAGGGACGCACAGACCTCTACCGGCTAGACAATGGCACCCTGACTGCAATTGGGTATCGGGATGAAATCCTTGGACCCATTGTCAGATCCTATGCTGGTGCTCTGCCTCGTGTGGCAATAGTATGCAGGCAGTTCCTGCAGGATGTAGGAATTGATACCTTTGAATGGAACCCATGCTCGCCTGACCTAAATCCAATAGAACACCTCTGGGATATCATGTTTCAGTCCATTCAACACCGCCAGGTTGCAATTCAGACTGTCCAGGAGTTCAGTGATGCCCTGGTCCAGATCTGGGAGGAAATACCCCAGGACACCACCCGTCGTCCCATTAGGAGCCCCCCCCGACATTGTCAGGCATGCATACAAGCATGAAGGGGCCATACAAAATACTGAGTATCATTTTGAGTTGCTGCAACTAAATTTCAGCAAAATGGACTCGCCTGCTGCATCATTTTTTCATTTTGATTTTCGGAGTGTCTTTGAATTCAGTCCTCTGTAGGTTGATCATTTTCATTTCCATCAAACGATGGGGCATCCTTACGTTCCTAACACATTACCCAGTCCATATCAGTATAGATATCCAGCAAGAGATTTTTCCCCATTGAGATCTCATGTGTTTTCAAAGTGTTCCATTAATTTGTTTGAGCAGTGTATATGTGGATCTATGAAATTTCAACTTATCCCAATTATTTTGAAAACTGTCCCCTCCCCCCACCTAACACTGTGCCAACTAACCTGTGAAAAAAAGATGTATATACTTACCTATTATCATGCCGCTCTGGTCATGTGATCTGCGTCAGGCAGAGTGGCTACAGGGGAGACGAGAGCGCTGACAACAGATGGGCTATTGATGTCACCACTTCAGGCTTTACTAGCCATTGTCAGAGTACTATCTCCTCTCTCCTCCAGCTGCCGCTGGCTGACAGCACAAAGAAGATCACATGACCAGACCAAAGTGGCCTGAAAATAGGTAAGTTCTGTATGTACATCTTTCTTACTTAGGTTAGTAAGCATAGGTGTTAGAAGGGGAGAGGGGACAGTTTTAAGAGCAGTTAGGGTAAAGTTGGAATTCCACTTTGGCTAGGTTCACACTGCTGAGATCCGACTGTGATCTGATTTTCAGTGCGATTATGTAGTGTAGCTTGGATGCAACTTGGATAAGGTCTGCAGATACTGTGCTGAGTTCCATTGATGTGAACAGGCGTCATTGAAAACAATGTGATTTACCTTGTCATGCAATTCTGTGCGACACGATTCGCATCTGAACTCACACTAGTGTGAACAGATCCCTAGGCCTTCTTTACACAGGCAATCACTCTGCAGCAAGAATCAGTGGATTCCAGCAGCCGTGATGATAGGAGTTTGTGAATACCAGCAACTGCTCAGCCTATACAATGTAATACACTTGTCATCCCAGCTGCAAACAACCCATGCAGTTTAAAATAGAAATGAAAGGCAAAACATTTGTCTATACATATAAAAAACGTTACAAAACACCTTTTTTTCTCTATTTTTATCAGTGATCACATACCCCCTGTTCTAGTTGCATAGAGAAGTGAAGGTGGGGAAACAGCAGTACACTGAACTTCTGAGTAAATAGCTGTGTAGAAGGGGGGTGGGCGTGTCAGCACAAATCTGATCATTGGAGGAGAGCAAGCTGAGTTCTCTGCACAGCTAAAGAACTGACCACACTGTGCACTCGTGCCTAGTGTAGTCAGTTTTTAAGAAGAAAGCAGAGAGACTGGCAGGAACACCTGGGATTTCATGTAATGGAAGCAATACAAAGAGAACAGGATACTTTTTAACACATCAGGAATATGAAATGTTGGGTTTACATATTCTTTAAACCTGTATTGTTGCTTTACCTTTACACACTGGGGATGTACCATTCCAAGTTCCATCTGCTTGACAGTACCTGTAGTTCCTTCTTGAAATCATAGTATATCTGGAATATGTGTATTATAATTAATCAGTCAACGTTGGTAACCAACAGTCCGTTTTAATCACAACATTAGTTTGTCATTACCAATTTTGAACATATAACAAAAAAAATAGAGAATATAAAATAAAAAAAAACAGTGTGCAGGCTCTAAAGTTTTTAAATTGATATTTGGACTTTTTTTCTTTTGCCAAAAATAAAACTTAAAAAGCCATTTATATTCCTTAAAACCACCATAATCTTCCCCATTGATCTGTTTACAGCAATTTACAGCAAAGAATAATTGGACTGTTTCACTCATGCCCGGTATGATGTAATTACCATGCTTAATTACAAATACACATAATTTCCTATGTGATATCCTGCAATCTGAACAAATTAATATGATTTTTTTTTTCTTTTACAAGTATATTGGGTTTCAGACTATAAGTACTATATAGATTTATACAATCAGAATTACCGTAAGGTGCAACAAACATAAATTATCACAGAGATATTCATGGGTGATCCTGTAGTATTCATGGAAGTAACACTTTAGTTTTTAGATTTGAAAGATGAATATGGAGATCTGACTATTATTATTATTATACAGAATGTATATAGCACCAACAGTTTGCTCAGCGCTTTACAACATAACGGGAGACAATACAGCAACAATACAGTTCAATACAAGAGGGTTAGGAGCAGGGGCGGACTGACTGGCAACTCATGGGGCCCCGAGCAATAAGGGATCATGGGGCCCCTGTGTCCTTGCCCAAACTCAAAAAAGCCTATGAAAAAGGTACCAGGGGCATCTCATGGGGCCCCTTACTGGCCCCGGGCCTTCGGGCAGTGCCTGAGTTTCCAAATGGTCAGTCCGCCCCTGGTTAGGAGGGCCCTGATCCTGGGAGCTTACAATCTTCTTAGATTGTAAAATTGTATAGTCCAGACAAGCACAAATCTCCCATTAGAGAGTTAGAGTGTTATTGCTATCTTTTATGTTCCTTTGGGCATGTGTAGCTAATTAAGAATTAGGGATGCATCGATATATCGGTGTCTGAATGTATTAGTTGAAAAGGAGGAGTGTGAACAATCTTTTGCTCTTTGTTTATGGCGTGGCTCCCAATGCTTCACTCTCCCTGCTTCACCACCCACCCGGTCTGTCAGTACTTGACCCTCAAACGAATAAGCCAGCCTCTAAGGTACTGCCAGGCAGTTATTACAAGTTCCTTTTTGCTGGGGACAGTGGGGGGTGCCCTTCTCTTTTTATCTTTTTTGGTCATCTTACAGGCATTACATCTATTACATTTGTGGAACCCTGCAATTTCCGAAAACAACCTAGGTGTTTTGGGAGGTTCAATCATAATATGTACAATACGAAGGTCTGGTTTTTTTTTGGGACATTCAATCAAATTATGTACGATCTTCGCTGGGAGAGAGCAATTCTGTTTACAGAAATAATCGCTCTCTTCTCATGAAGATCGTACATATTGTGATTGAACCTCCAAAAAACCTAAGATGTTTTTTGAAATTGCAGGGTTCCAAAAATGTAATAGATGTGATGCCTGTAAGATGACCAAAAAGATAAAAAAAAAAAAAACTAAATTCAACTCAAAACAGAGAGAATACATTATAAAACAATTTATTACATGTAATTCCTCTCATGTTGTATATGTGTTGGAATGTCCATTCCATATGCAATATATTGGCAGAACAACTAGGAGATTGAAGGATAGGATAGGAGAGCAAATAAACAATATAAAAATTGTTTTGAAATGCATAATGTTTTAAGACACTTCAAATTAAAGCATTATACATGATCTAGTTTATTGGTGTTTTATGGCATAGTGAAGGTTACTAACCAATGGAGGAGAAGAGATATGGTGAGAAAAGTATCAAAAAGTGACACTAAGGGGATACATTACAATCAAGGGGATTAAGTATTAGAAGGGATGTAAATCGTTTTTTTTTTTTGTTTTTGTTTTTATTTTTGCATTTGCATTTTTGTTTTTATTTTTACTTTTCTTTTTGTGTTTTTATTTTTTATTCTGCCCTCTTAGGTTGTATCCATTTTCAATAGGTTTTTAATATATTTTTGGTTCACATTATATATTTTCATTTGATCTTATTTTGTTTTTATGAAGAGTGCCCCTTTAAAGGTTTTTTCTATGCGGCCATTTTAAATGATCCACCATTTTGTTGTTGGGTATTGCTAATATGGGAGTAATTTTTGGTTGGATGGGACCCGCCAGTAAGCCACCTGAGTATGTTCTAAGTTATGTTTTTTTCGATAAGAAGGAAGTACCATTTGTTAAATAATAATGCCATGTGAAAGAAGTCTGATGACTAAATGTGTAGGGTGGGGTTTGGATATGACATCACTACGCAGTGTTCACTGGCTGGAGGCAACACCACTTATGATTTTAATCAGATCCATGGAGACACACACTAAATGTAAGTGTAATATTTGCTTATTACAAATAAAGATTTTTTTAAAGGATGGTTTTATGCTATGAGAGGCTTGTCTCTCTTCCCTCTTCTTGCTTATGAGTTTCAAGTGTATATGGAATAATCCTTTGGAGTGGGACCGGGGATTGTGATCGTTATACAGTAAGGAACAGAAGTATTTGAACACCCTGCGATTTTGCAAGTTCTCCCACTTAGAAATCATGGAGGGGTCTGAAATTCACATTGTAGGTGCATTCCCACTATGAGAGCCACTCCTTGGTTATCCTGGCTGTGTGCTTCGGGTCGTTGTTATGTTGGAAGACCCAGCCACGACCCATCTTCAATGTGCTGACTTAGGTAAGGAGGTTGTTGCTCAAAATCTCACAATAAATGGCCCCATTCATCCTCTCCTTAATACAGTGCAGTCGTCCTGTCCCCTTCGCAGAAAAGTACCCCCAAAGCATGATGTTACCACCCCCATGCTTCACAGTAGGGATGGTGTTCCCTTGCAACTCATCCTTTTTCCTCCAAACACGACGAGTGAAGTTTAGATCAAAAAGTTCTACTTTGGTCTCATCTGACCACATGACTTTCTCCCATGCCTCCTCTGAATCATCCAGATGGTCATTGGCAAACTTCAGACGGGCCTGGACATGTGATGACTTGAGCAGGGGAACCTTCCATGCAATGCATGATTTGAAACGATGACAGCGTAGTGTTCTACCGACAGTGACCTTTGAAACTGTGGTCCCAGCTATCTTCATGTCATTGACCAGCTCCTCCCTTGTAGTTCTGGGCTGATTCCTCACCTTTCTTATCATCAGTGATACCCCACAAGGTGAGATCTTGCATGGAGCCCCAGTCCAAGGGAGACTGACGTTGTCGTCTTTAGCCTCTTCCATTTTCTAACAATTGCTCAGACAGTTGATCTATTTTCACCAAGCTGCTTGGCAATTGCCTCGTAGCCCTTTCCAGCCTTGTGGAGGTCCACAATTTTGTCTCTGGTGTCTTTTGACAGCTCTTTGGTCTTGCCCATGGTAGTAGTTGGTGTCTGTCTGACTGTGGGGTGGACAGGTGTCTTTAAAGAGCTCAGACAGGTGCTGCTAAGTTAGATTAATCAGTGGAGTAGAGGTGGACTTTTTAAAGGCACAGTAACAGGTCTTTGAGAGCCAGAATTCTTGCTGTTTCTTAGGTGTTCAAATACTTATGTTCAGCAGTGCAAGACAAATAAATTCTTTAAAAATCATACAATGTGATTCCTGAATCTTTTTTTTTTCAATTCTGTCTCTCAGAGTGGGAATGCACCTACAATGTGAATTTTAGACCCCTCCATGATTTCTAAGTGGGAGAACTTGCAAAATCTCAGGGTGTTCAAATACGTCTGTTCCTCACTGTATTGGTTGTTTGCTGGTTCATAATTTTACCAGCATTGGTTTCTGGTGAGTTTATGAAGTACTTAAGGTGGTGGAGAGCACTTTATTTTGGGGATTAAGAAGAGAATATAAGAAGAGCTCCAGGAATTCCTGTGTGGAGTGTGGGACTATGAATTAGAACTTTATTATTTATTTTTCACATGAACTTTGTTGATGTATGGAATTTGCCATTTATTTATGTACACGCTTTTGGACATTCATTTTGACTATACAAGTTTTTATTGCACAGCACTTTATTTGGAAGATATATGCATCATTTTTGAGATGTTTAAATATGAATTTTTTGCACATTCATCTTGTAATTATTGATGTATGAACTTTATATAGTTTTTTGATGTATTACACCTAGAACTTTTAGTATTTCAGGTATAGAGTAGTTTAATTTCACTTTATTTTTGAGAATATTGGAAGTCTTTTTTTGTATTTGATATTGATATTTATGATTGCCAGATAGCTGCTGCTTTGATTAGTTAGTATAACAGCATATACCATTGCGGAGTTGATTTTCTTCTTTGTAGATTGACAAATTGTCTCTAGACCAACTACTCTATAATACATAAATACACAATTATATACTTACCCTGGTGTACATGTATAGTTTACTCTTGATTCAAACAAAAAGTCTTTAAATTGCATTTGTCCATGAGTAATGTCTCCTGGTTTGCCACATGACAGGCCTGCAACAATGAAAAAAAGCCATTATATTAATTTTTCATGTACAAAATATAAGGCCTGGTTCACACCTATGCTTATTGCGATTAATGCATTATTCTGGTATGTTTTGCATCTTTGAACATGTCTTTTTGATGCAATTTGTGATTTTTTTTTGTTTTCTAATCCGAAAATATTGAATGCGACTTTTTTGCAACTTTACACTCTCTGGTACTCAAATTGCATCAAAGCAACTTTGAAAAGGTTCCTGCATAACTTTGATGAGACTTTGAGTGCAAGGGAGTGTAATGTTGCATCAAAGTCACATCAAAGTAGTTCAGAAACCTTTTCAATGAGACGACTTTGAAAAAGTTCCTGTACTACTTTGAAGCGACTTGACTGCGAGAGGGTGTAAAGTTGCATTCGATACTATAAAAATACTATAGAAAATGCGAAACGCATCAAAAATGCATCAAAAACACAACACTTTGGTTTATGGTGTGGTTCCATTGAAGTCTACTGCACCAAAAACTCAATCTGCTGCGTGAAAAAAAGTCCATGACCCTTTCCAAAAGCGCGGTTTCTGAAAAACGCTAGGATGTGAATGTGTCCCATAGAAAATCATGTTAAATGGACTGTAGTGCATTTCTGCAAAATGAAAAATGCACAAAAAAAACGCATAGGTGTGAACCAGGCCTAAAAGAAAAAATTGGAATAACATTTTTTATATTCTCTTTGTTTTTTTTCCAGGCTGTGTTTGCTCTGAATACTTAATGGCCTTGTTCTGGGTCAGTGATTCCACAAATGTTTATATAAATGTATCATTTTTTTCTACTGATGAGAAACTAGAAAGTCATGTAATGCATAGATATTTAATTATATAAATAAATATAGACAGCCAGTTCATAGATTTATCTTTGAGGGCCATGTTACATTTGTGTGGTGTGTTATGCACATGCATTATGTCACACATTAATGTGCGTTGCTGTAGGGCAGCCAACTGAAAACTTCCCAAAATTCTCAGACTTTTGACACAATGCCCTATGGTGCATTGCCTTACTGTGTTGGGTGCGCTTTAAAATGAGTGGCCCCACAACGCGTCAATGAATGTATTGAGTTTTACGTGATGCATGGATGTAAATCCGCCAATTTCTTCCCAACTATTTGACAAATATTCTTAGAGTCTTCACATCAGAGATTGCTGATTGTCATTGCTTGGTGTAGGAGCCATAAATAATAAATCAGTCTTACACATCTGAGTCTAGAACAAGGGCGGACTGACAACTCATGGGGCCCTTGGGCAATAGGGGATCATGGGGCCCCTGTGTCCTTGCCCAAACTCAAAAGAGACTATGAAAAAGGTAACAGGGGCATCTCATGGGGCCACCTACTGACCCCGGGCCCTCGGGCAGCGCCCAAGTTTCCAAATGGTCAGTCCGCCCCTGGTCTAGAACCATGTTTCTCAAGTAAACAATCTCGACCCAAAAGCGGGTCACGACCAGGGGGAGGCCTCTCTAATGCCCCAATAAAACATCCGGTGCCCTGACAACAAGCTTAATAAAAAATGCTTTTCGCACCAATATAAATGTTAAGACAGCCAGGACCGCAAAAACGGCCGGCCCATTAAGGTGGTGTGTATGGTGGTCCTATGGCCCTTGCACTCATTCCTCCTTCCTCCACGGCAGCTCTGGGTGGAAGTGACCTACAACTATACTTCTTTCCAGCCAGCCGAGCAGGAGGGAAGAAAAGCACCACAGGATGCCAGGGAATGACTCCACTAGGTACTTTTCCTGGTTTGTGGTGGGATGATGCAGAGTGCATGAAAGGAGTGAAAAAAAACAGGAAAGCGATGGTGGTGGGGTGGGACTGAAAGTATGCATAAAAGTGGAGGACTGAAGGAAACCATGAAAGGGGAGGGCATGAAAAGGAACAGAATGAACACTGAACACAACCTCAGAGTTGCTTTGTCTACCATCACCCCAGACTTTGAGACACTTACCAAAAAGCATCCCTAGTTTTCTCATTAGTTCTAATTAATTACATATGTTTCAATTACTGCTTATTTTATTAAGTTTTTACCTCAACAGCACTTTTATTTTCACTACTGCTGTGATTACTGCACCATCCATTTTGGAAGGAAGCTGTTTGTTTACTGTTTAAAAAATGCATATACATTATAGAATACTGCACAAGTTGTTATGTGGAAAAATTATAATGTTTCGGAAATTAAATTATTTTCGGGTGACTTAATGACCAAAGACAAATGTGTGTCCTGAGGTTCCACAGGTTGAGAACCACTGGTCTAGAGCATAGTGCTGTATGTATGCCAACCAATTTTCTTTCTTTAAGTAACGGACATTAACTAAGGGGTCTGTGTCAGGTGTTGCATTTATACATAGTCAACACATACAAATAAATCTAGTGTTTAGGTATTTTAATCCTCCATGAGTTACAAACTTACGTTTACAAAATACTTCAGGTTCTGACCATTTAAGGTCAGGAAGACAAGTAATTTCATCGCTTGTATTTTCAGTGAAGATGTAGCCTGGTTGGCACTTGTATTTCAAGGATGTACCAACATTAAAATACTGTTTTTTAGGAAACGTTTCTACCAGCTCTCCATATTTAAGTTCAGGAGGGGACTTGCAGACAGCTGTCAAAAAAAAAAACAAAAACACAATAATGACACATTTTTTTCTTAGGAAGTCAATTGAATCAATGAGCCAAACGTGGCAACAGCAGGATGCATTCCAAAATCATTTTAGCTAGAGATTCCTACATGTTCTGAAGGTTTACAATTCCAGTTCTGTCTAGGAAAAGCAAGGAAAAATCAATGCATTTTAATTGCTGTTAAATACATCAATGGAAGACATTAGATACAAAAGTGTCAAACACATAGGGGTTGATTTGTTAAAGGCAAACAGACTGAGCACTTTGCAAGTGCAGTTGCTCCAGAGCCTAATAAATGAAGTGAAACTCTGCTGACTTCCACCTTCCTTCTTGAATGTGATTGGATATTCTTTGTAAAGTGAAGCCTTACCTCATTTACTAAGCTCTGAACCAACTGCACTGTAAAGTGCACTGTCAATTTATCTTTAGTAAATCAACCCCATTATCTTTATTATTCAGATGCTACATTAAATCCCTGGACCTCATTCCCACTTGGAATGAGGTCCAGGAATTAAATCTGTAATTGCTGGCAAATTGTGCCTGCGATTCAAATCACGGTAAAAACACATGTGATGCAATTCTGCCTCGACTGACATGAATGGGTTGACCCATGCACGATAAGTGGAAATAAGTGTAGATCGTACTTAAAAAATTGCAGGTGGGAATATTTGTTAAGCGAGATTTGAATGAGGCCTAAAGCCTAACACAATCTTGTGTTGTTTATTACCCGTTTAAAACTATAACACAAATGGGAGCAATATTGCTACAGAGGAAGCAATACCACAAGTTGTCCACTTGTTAATCTCTGGGAACTCTAATTAGAATCTAAATTACTAAATATTTTTAAACATCCTAAAAAGGAGACTATTTTATAGAATGTGCTGTACTTCATAAAATAGAATGTATGCAAAACTCTTCTGGGTTGTTTCACGTAGACTACTATCACTTTGTGCATTCATTTTTATTAATATTATATAATAGAATGTCAAATCCTCTTCAAAGGTTTGCAAGAGGCAAATGCAGGGGTTTGTAAACCATTAAGAGAAACTAGAAGTGAATAAGTGTTGTGTTATAATCAGGGGCGGACTGGCAACTCATGGGGCCCCCGGGCAATTGGGGATCATGGGGCCCCTGTGTCCTCGCCCACACTCAAAATGCACCCAAAAAAGCCTATAAAAAGGTACCAGGGGCATTTTATGGGGCCCCCTACTAACCCCGGGCCCTGGGGCAGTGCCCGAGTGCTTGAATGGTCAGTCCACCCCTGGTTATAATGGTTATGTTTAGGATACACAAGGTCAGAGGTTCAATGCAATTAAAGTTCTAAAATCATTTTTATTATATAGTAATATGTGTTCATTTTCTAAAAATGAAAAAAAAAAAAAATAGTATTCTAAAAATGAAAAACTTTGATATGCAGCACATGCCTAACCCAGTCATATGCTGAAAATTAAATATTTAGGTTTTTAGAATACTAATTTTTATTAATTTCGTGAGAATAACACATATTACTGTAAAAATTATCACATCAAGAAAAATGTGCAAAATCTGGCGCAGCTCTGCATAGAAAATGTAAATGCTGAAACTTACGTTTTATTACTAAAAATATTAAATTAATATGAATTAAAATATTAAATGCAAAAGTTAATTTTGTAGCTTTAAATTTGTGTGCACTAAGTGTTAAAGTGTACTTACAGCATTTGCAACTGAATGGTCATGATTGTATTGGCAGGAAAACTGTCTATGCTATCCACTGTCTCTGCTGCTTGTCCTGTACAGTATTCACATATCAGTTGCAAATAGGATAGAAACGCTGCAAAATTAGAGCAGCGCTAACCAAATGTATTTCTCTGGCAGTTGTGCATCAAAATAATATATGCGACAACCTTAAAAAAAAGATACATGTGGATTGTTAAATGTCCCCAAGTATATGTATAAATACTGTATGTGCCGCGCTAACTAAACTCCAGTATGAACAAGCAAATAAAGGTAATATTAATAACTAAACCTCTCTCTACATAGTTGCACAATAACTGTGTGCATTTAAAACAAATATCTTTCACAATATGAGAAATGGATATTCATCCACATGTAAAAAAACAAATAGTAATAACCACCACAATAAAAATAAAGATGTATCACATTTCTGTCTATACACACATCCACAACTGCAATACATTTACATACAGAATAACCCAAATTATAAACAAAAGCAATAAAGCACTTGCAAAAGCAAAAGATAATGTTTACCCACAGTGGAACACAGTGCTACCTAATGTAAATGCAGTGCAGTACAGCACACCCTGCAGACACATTGTTCTGTACTAGAAATAGTTCAGCATGGCCCAAACAAATCATTTGAAACAGGTAATGCCACTTCAATGTTTCTCCAAATTTTCTATGTAATCAAAGGGTCAAAAAGCAATAATCTTTGGTTCTTATCCCCTCAACCCAAAGACTTTATCCAAGAAAGAAGTACCTTTTGTCTTGACAAAGTTTTAGAAAAAAAATATATTGGTTCTTTTAGTACAGACTTCCCTTCTCTGCCAACCATACCTCTACAAAATGTATCATTCAAAGCTACGACACTTCTAGCCTGCATTTTGTCTTTCAGAATTTTACATATATCTATGTAATTTTCAGTCTTCTATGCCTTACATATTTTTTATTAGTACAAACCGAGAAATTGAATTACTATCAGTTATCTGGGGTATAGTATTAAACTTCGGACACTTATATGGAATCTAAAGCAGTTCCCCACAGTGCTGCTTTTCAACCATAAGATATCCTAAATCTTCCGGGTTGAATAACACTGGTCATTTAAACCTGGAAGATTGAGGACATACTACAAATATATATGCATAATATCATGAATAAGTGGGCACCACGCCCATCATTTATAGTTTATTGAAACAGACCAGTGCTGATGTGATGACAAAATTGAAGTGGTGGAAAAAAAAAAAAAAAACCAGTGGGGTTGATTTACTAAAACTGGAGAGTGCACAATATGGTGCAACTCTGCATAGAGCCAGCTTCCAGTTTTTTTGTCAAAGCTTAATTGAACAAGCTGAAGTTAGAAGCCAATTGGCTTCTATGCACAACTGCACCAATTTTACACTCTCCAGTTTTAGTAAATCAACCCCAGTGTGTCATGTAATTGTTGTGAAGACATATTAAAAAGGTAAGTATAACAAAAAGCAAAACATAGAAGCAGAGGACCCTCCAAGAGGTAGGGAGAATGCATTTCTCGTCAGCTCAGGGAACTAAAGCATATCTGCTACAGACGGGAACCACCACAGTCTATCATCTTTGCTGCCTTGATTTGACCACAGGCGAACTTTATCCCTGCCTTCCTCTCTAAGTGGAAATCTGATCTCACTATGAATTTTACTGATTCACAAAAACAAAATTCTCCATTTTGCACAGAAGTCCTCTATTGCCACCAAGGTCCAAGAGACCAGCTATAAGATTCTGATTAGGTGGTACAGTGTGCCTACATCATTACACCGCATTATTCCACAAGTATCAGATTTGTGCTGGCGATGTGGCACAGAGCTCCACATTTTCTTTGAATGTCCAAAAATCAGACCATTTTGGCAAGAGGTAGCGTGTACCATCAAACATCTGACATATGTTGATTTAGCAGGGAACCCTGTGGTGTGCTTGCTGCACCTCACAGAGCGACCCATTAAAAAAATATAAGGCTTCCCTTATGATCCAGCTGTTGAATGCGACAAAGGCTTGTATCACTTTGTGTTGGATGTCTGTGAATCCCCCTCGAAGTCTCTTTGGTTTTCAAAAATCAATGAATTCAGTGACATGGAAGACCTCATGGCTACTTTATACAATCGGGAAGAGACCTTTTGTGACACTTGAAGGCCATGGCAATACTATGTCTACACCGATGCCTACTTGCAGGAGGTCTCGCAACCTGTTTGTGCCACCGGGAGCCCCTACCGCATGGCCCTGGATGAGAGAATTTGCTTTTCTGGATTCTCTATATTTGTGTCTCTTTTCAGTGCCGTCTGGGCATCCAGCATCTACTTCTTTCCTGAGCTTCCCTTTCTTTCCCTCATTCAGGGGCTGCTGAACTCTCTGCTTTTAAAACCTAACCCATATCCCTCCTCCCTTTTTTCTGTCTTTTTTCCAGCCTGCCCATTTTTTTCCTCCTACACCCCTCCCTCAGTATTGATATATAATATTTACATTTTGTTTGCTGTTACTTTGACAGTGTACTTTGCCTATAAAGTGATACACTTTCTTTAGGTTATTCTGGCCCTCGGCCCCCACGGTGCCCCTGGTATTTTTTTACCTGTAGCACTACCCCTTTGAGGGTCACTGAGTTATTTTTAGGCTCCCTGTCACTCTTGACCCCACTCTGAAAGCCAAACCCCTGCTAACACCACCGTACTCTTCTGGCCAGAGTAAACTCTCTCAATATCACCAGGAAATAGACTCACACACAGGCTAGAGTGAACTGGTACTTTGCTTATATTAGAGTTGAATATGAGCACAGTAAAGCACAGCAAAATTATAGGCGTGTATATTATAACAGTTAACACTCTTAGTAACTTTAAGTAAAGGTCAACATACATATAGCAAAAATCTCAGTTAGTTCTGGACGTCCTGCAATTCAGAATTTAACCAAAGGCCTCAACTCTGAGATGTTTCTGTCCCCCGTTAGCAAAGGAAAACTATCAAAAATAAGTCTGAGGTAAGGAAAGAGCACTTTAATTAGGAAGGCTAATGTCTCTTTAACTGCAGTGAACGATCTTCTTAGTGCTTGTTGGGGTCCAGTTGGTGCACTACAAGAATTCATATCCCCTTGGTTGCAACAGGTGAAAGTCCCTCAAAAGGATTTATGAAAGAACAGGCACTATAACGTTAAGTGGTATTTAACTTGGGCAATACCCCGTTAATGCACAACATGAAATGCAGATTTTAAGCAAGACGTTTATAGGGTTGGGCAGATGCAATTGTTGACAAGGGATTAATTCTAGGCTGCAGTAGCAAATGGCAGAAATGACAAGTGTCCCTTGATGGATGTCAACATATTGTAGAGGAAATAGTGGTGTGCCTTGGCCCGCAGAGGGCAGACACTGCTGTAGGCTCTGATGACTAGATTATGCTGGAGATGTGTTTTAATAAGCTGGGTGAACTAGGCCTCAACTTTTAACTTGTGAACAATATCAGTAACTGTATCGAGAATGGCTGATTCAATAGGATGTCAGTGACAACTTAATTGGGTGGAGATTGGGACTCTCTCAGCCGATCTGTGGCATCATTCCAGCCACTGGTGGTCTCGCAGTAGATGATGCCCCCAGCAGGTTCTGCAGTTCCTCTTGCAGAGTTCATTGCAACCCTCCAGGTCTCCAGCCAACAGGGTAGTTCTCCACATTCTTTGGCAATGTCAGTGGCCAGCTATTCCTTCCTCTTTCTCTGTTCTTCCACTCTACAGCCTGGTCCAGTCCCCTGGCATTCCACACAGCTTTCTCATCACACCTTCCTTCCATCACTCTCCCAGCTCACTTCCTGCCTCTGTTCTAGGCTTCTACATTTATATGCCTTCACCCACACGCCAGCTCTTCTGGGAAATGTAGTCCCCCAATTACCAGCCTTCTACCAAAGTCCTGCCGTTCAGCCTTTAAGATCCATAAAGTTTTTCACCAGAGTGTGTGCCACTGAGTTGCAGGACACTGCCATCTTGTTACTCTTAACATCTTGTAGTTTGAATAATAGATAAAGGTATGTAACACCCTGCTATTATACCTGGTTGCATTCATATTTTAATGTTTGTATGCGTAATGCTAGAGATGCCCCTCATTGCCTCCTGCTGGGACATCTATGAGTTGACAGCTGATAAACTATTTGAATTCTCATATTATAGGAAGCTCATTATTGCTATGTGGATTCTGTTGTCTAGCCACTGATATTGATACTTGACTATCTTTGTACCCTCTTATGCTTTACTCTTCCATATGTTTGTACTCTGCAACTTTTGGATAAAGGAATTACAAAAAAAAGGAGGTAGGGAGGAGGGACTCTAAACTTAGAGTCGGGCTTTAATTTATTATTCCCATGATATGGGAATGCAATGCATGACTGAAATAAATATTACCCCATGTTATTTTCATTATAACATACATTTTTGTCTCATACTCCTTGCCCAATCACTACCACTAACCACAAAATCCAATGGTTGAAACTTGAATATCAGGGGTTCCCCATGTGCATTATATCTATAGCATGCCCAAAAGTAAAATACACATACATATAGGGTATCTTCTTACCCAATAAAAAGTAGCTGTATTATTTGGAAGACTTTTCTTTAAAGCCATACACTGTATGCAAGCTAATTACTGCTAGTTCATTACTATAAAAATGCTCATGTTACATAGCTAGTCAGTTTGAAAAACAAAAACTATTTAGATCAACCAATAAAAAATATATTTTATGGAGAATATGCAGAAATGGATTTGCAATTAGCCACTCTAGGTGAGTGCTTATAGGCACCCCTACCAAAGAAGTGGCTGTTGTTGATAAGTGGCTCAGTGATTTGGAGGGATTTAACCTCCCTAGCGGTCTGATTATGTCCATATTTCTGTGCTCAAAGCGGTAAATTTTTTTGCATGGAAATATGTATTTTTTTTTTATTGTAGGCCTGTCATTTTTAGGAATAACTCACTGAAATCTGTCCGAACAAGAGTCTAGTAAACATCCCGGGTATGATAAAATTTGAAACACAAAATAATAAATTATAATATAATAAATAATCATAAAAAAATAATAATATAATAATAAATGTAATTCAATAATATAATCAAACCAAAAACACTGAAATTTGAAATATAGCACCAAGTTCGCACATCACTGAGCAAAGTCGCCAAATCGTTTTCAGTGTCTGATGACGAATTTCCCCACGAATCATTATCACTCAATTCTGCAAGTGGTTCTAATTTACTATCGCTGTTCTCTAGCTGGTCTAAAACCGATTTTGTCTTAAAGGGACGCTTTTTGGACACCATGGACGTTTCTCAGTTTCCAGGCAGAAAGAACAGTAAAAAAATACAGGCAGGGCACAGGACAAAGCACTAGGGACAAAATGTATGTGAAATGGTTTGATACAGTAATGTTTTACTATGTGATTTTAGTGTATTTAGTGAATGTCACTTTTTGTCATTTTCAAATTTCCCGCCAGTTCCATCCCCCGTACGTCCCGACGTCACAGGGGACGGAACCCAGAAGACAGATGCCGGCATCCGCCGGAGAACATTGCCAGGGACACTGCAAGGAGGACATGGCGGGAGTGCAGGACAAGGTAAGAGAAGAACAGATCCCGGAGCAGCGTCATGCTTGGCAGGTGCTACACACCCCAACCATGACAGGGCATATAACTCCTGCTGCAGCTGCAAAATGTGTACACCCCTAGCTACTGCAGCTAAAGTTGGTGCAGTTGGGACAGGGGTGGTAAAGACATCTTAACAATGAGGTTTTACCACCCCCCCAAACTACAAATGTAAATGAACCCTTACTGTTCTGAGCCCTCTTTAAGGCTACTTTCACACTAATGGCTGAGGTTTACCTGCACCGAAGGTGCAGAGCAGTGCATCTGCGACTTTACTGGGTTAGCTGAGCTTTGCCATTGACTTCTATTATATGTTTCTTTATGCTTTATCTATCTTTATGCTTTCAGGAGCTTTGGTGCAGTTTCAGAAAGTGCACCAAACTTGCAATATATAATAGAAATCTATGGCTAAGCGCAGCAAACCCGCAGGAAAGCTGCAGGTATGCTGCACTGCAACCACGGTGTGGGTAACCTGCAGAGCATCAATGCGAAAGCAGCCCTATACTATTATGCCCAGTGTATTACTTCAAACTGACTGGCCTGCTGGCACCAGGATAAGAGGTGGAGATAAGCTAACCGGGATAAGAGGTGGAGTGAGGTTGGTATCTCTCCGCATGGGACAAGAGCCAGCACTGCAAAGGCTTACGAGGCACTTGCTTCCTGCTACAGCTTCAACTTTACAAGTAGTCCCTTTGCATTGCACTCGCAGTCTGGGCTTGCTGACCCACCATCCAAGAGTATCAAGTAGTCACCTGGCTGAGACCTACTGGTAGATCGTGACCTACTGGTTGCTGACCCCCGCTCTATATAGTGTGCAGGTATGTTAGCATGTGTAGACTGATCCCCTTGACAATGTCCTTTTGGATGAAAGGTACGTCGGGGTAGGAAGAGCCTGTGCAGAGATTATCATCACTGACTGGAGCCGGCAGTAGCAGCATTCATTTACATGCGGTTTGATTTTGTGACTTTGTAAGTATTATTTATTACAGGTACTTATATAGCGCCATCAATTTACACAGCATATATATATATTATATATATATATTGTACATTCACATTAGTCCCTAGCCCTCAAGGGGTGTACAATCTACGGTCCCTAACTTACTTTCATACATACACATACTAGGGCTAATTTAGACTTCATCCAATTAGCCTACCAGCATGTCTTTGGAGTGTGGGAGGAAACCAGAATTCCTGGAGGAAACCCACACAGGCACAGGGAGAACATGCAAACTAGCAGAATATTTGAGATTTTTATCAATAAATTATTGGCGATATTACACTATGGTGGATTTCTTTTATACGTGAGCTCTCTTGGTGGCAAGATAAAGGATAAACTGTTGTGGCATTGGAATATTTCATCAACATCTAATTACACCATCAGGATGTATGCAGCTTCATGCTAAATAGACCTCCTATAATTTGGGGTCTAGGGATTCGGTAAGAGGCTGGTTATATTGGTGGTGGATGCACTTCTCACATGGAATAAAGTTGATGGACACTTTTTTCGCAGGAAAACAAATGATTTGGACTTTTTATTATATGTCACACTAGGATATATCAAGTTCATTTGAGTATTTATTATTTTTTTTTTTCACTTATTTATTTACAGCGCAACTTGTTTGTGATAATATATACTGTGTACATATCATGGTATAATACAATTTTGTTTTATATTTGGTGGTCAGTTTTCATAATAAGTTAGTGTGTAGTTTTCTTCTGTTTTAGGTGGCAAGATAAATTTGGTTTAATAAATGTTGTGCTATATAAGTTACAACACGAGGGTTTGCTGTTATGGTAGTATGTTAGTGACTATCAGAATGTGATATTTTCTGTGTATTAATCAGCACGGGGGAGATGTAGCTTAGTTTGTGACATGTGTTGGGTGGAGAATAAGGCACCAAAGTTTCTGTGTATAGAGAGATGTACAGTAAATCCAGCTTTGGTCACATACAACAATATTTTTAAGGGCCAGAAAATAATCGGTTATACAACATACTCCTCACTGAATACCCAAAGGTGACTAATTTTTTAGTGGTGACCAATATAAATATCCAAGAAAGTCAGTATGTCTAACCTTTACATTCTGGAGCTCTAGATGTCCAGTCTCCTTCAGCTGTGCAAGATACTGAAGCTTCACCAACAAGTGTTAAGCTATCACACTTGTAAGTCACTGAATCCAAGTAAGTATATCTTTCCTTTTTAATGCTGTATGATCCATTTACAAGATCCTCAGGTGATCGGCAGGTCTGTACTGTAATGAAAATCCAGAAAGTTGTATATTTGTTATAAAATGGCTTGAAATTTAAAAATAAAATTTACAGTACATGCTAAAAATTGGAAGACAACCAACATAATATCTTCTAGTTGTGATTTTTTTATTACATATAAACCTTCACTCAACGAAAATTAAATATCTCACCAACCATTTCAGCTAATTTTGCAAACCATTCACTACAGTGTTATATAAAACCAATCTGATTATTACAACTTGACAGAGCACTATTACATTTTAAAGTGATTCTAAAGTCTTTTTTTTTTTTGTTAAACAAACATGTCTATACTTACCTGCTGTGTGCAGTGGTTTTGCTAAGAGAAGCCCGGATCCTCCTCTTCTCGGGTCCCCCGCTGATGCTCCTGTCCCTTGCTATGCTATGGGAGCACTCAATGCTCTGTGTGTCCATTCGCACATGGATCTGTGGCTCAGCCTCGCCTAGCCCCCTCTCTACTCATTGGCTCACTGGCTGTGATTGACAGCTTCTGTCTCAGCCAATGAGAAGAGGGAGTCCCAGGATAGCCGAGACTCCAATGAACATCGCTGAATCGAGAAGGGGCTTAGGTGAGTACTAGGGGAGCTGGGGGGGCTACTGCACAGAGTAGGTTTTTTACCTTTATGGGTAGAATGCATTAAGGTAAAAAAACTTGAGGCTTTACAACCACCTGAAGGACAAAGTTTAAAAAAATTATATGACAAAAATAACACACCATAAATGTAAGTGTTAATTTTAACACAACTGGATTTTAATTTCAGCAACAATAGCTAGATCATGCTTCTAGATCCTACAGTCATCTGCACCAGCCTCTGAGACCCTAAACACAAATTATGGCATCTAACAACCATTCATGGAGCAGAAAAAGCAAGAGGTACGCTGCAGACATCTTCGTTGAAACATAATAGTGGTTGGACAAGATTTTCTAACCTATCCCATTGCTGTCTCCTTTTATGAGCCTTGGCAGGCTGTGTCTGTGACCTTGTATCACTGTTTATCTGACACAGCCACAAGAAAACTCCAATATAAATTTTCCCTCTTAGAAATCAACTTATTAAAAATTACATTTTCAAAATGTTTTCTTGATCTTTTAAAAAAACTTGACCTCTTAAAAGTAATGTTATACCTCTTAATCTTGAATTATGTTGAATTATAAATCCAGGGTCAAACGGTGTAATTAGGTTCTATGTTTTTTGTGCAGCCTCTATGTTTTTCCACGGGAGATGGGTGGATTTCAGTTCTAAAAATTCCATCTCCAGATGGGAAACTGTATACAAACACAATTTTCTTTCTGATGGTTAACTGAATACATTTTTTTACACAGTGTTTGTTTGTACTGGTTGATTAGTCAGTTCAAAGTAGATTTAAGAGAGGAAATCATAGTTACATTTGGGCTGATTTACTAAAACTAGAGAGTACAAAATCTGGTGCAACTCTGCATAGAAATCAATCAGCTTCCAGATGTGTTGTCAAAGCTTAACTGAACAAGCTAACGTTAGAAGCTGATTGGCTACCATGCACAGTTGTGCCAAATTTTGCACTTATCAGTTTTAGTAAATCAACCCCATACTTGGTATGAATGAATAAAGACATTAGTCCTTCCAGTTCAACCTGAGTTTGTGTGTGTTTATGTCACCAACATTTTTGATACATTGCGTACACTGCATTTTTTTTATTTATCTACACTCCCTGCTGACACCACTAACTGTGGAAGGGAATTCTACATCCTTACCGATCTAACAGTATGCAGTTTAAGATTAGACCACCTTTCATCCAACTTCATTGCATGGTCCTGTGTCTTCTTTATAGACTTTAGTTAAATAGATTAATCCGAGTGTTAGAGCAACCATTTAAAGATCTGTATATTGTGATCAAATTCCCTCTTAAAGGCTAAGTTCACCTTTTCATGCAGAATTTCACTTTTCATAATAAATAGAAGCCATTTTTAATGTCTTTTCTGCCCAAGTCACACCAATGTGCTTATCTCTCACTTACCCAGTCCATGGCAGCCTTCAATCTTCACCTCTCTGTTTAAAATGTTAAAAAATGCATTTCAGCCCATGACTTCCTGTAACATCATGTGACCATCCAGAAAACTTCTTATCCCATCATGCACTGCCTCTCACTGTGATCAGGGAATGAGGGTGGGTGTCAATGGACGTAGACAGGGCAGCTCGGAAACATATATACTGCTGGTCTCTGTACTCTGTAGTTTACCCACTTTTTGCTCTTGCAAATTGTATATAACATATTCCTTACCCCTGCACTGAATAGTATCCACTCCTGACTCATGTACTCTGTACATTATTTTTACACCTGACTCTTGCACTTTGTAAATGATTCAGTTCTGGCTTTTGCACTCTATGCGTCAGTATTATGATCAGGTGTGATTATCAGGTGTGGATAAAATGATTGGTCACACACAACACAGGAGGGCGCAGTTTGGCCTGTTCACCCTGGGAATACACACACACTCAGGATGATCTGGCTGGACTGGTGTCTTTATTCAGCCTTACCAACTATGTAACTATGTAAGTACGTTCTCATCCATTTTGTAAATGTTTTAACTATTTTCTACTAACATAAAACATTACGGTATTTTTTGACTCAATAGAAGTTTTTACCTTCACATTCTGGGACAGAATCGCTCCATTTTTTGTTATCCAAGCATGTTCTGATATTGTTCTCCGACACCATATTGTATCTAGAAGAAAATGTTATAAATGGGATTTCAAGGAATATCTTAATTTATTCGAATATAATTACATATGCTCCTTATGACAATTTAGTTTATTGGTTTTAGATCAAGGACCATCAAAAAGCAAAGGTTGCTGCAGGGTCCTACACTGTGCATTAAAATTACAGTAGCAGTTAGGTTGGTATGGAACCCCTGGTACACAAGATACCACTACAGCAAACAACAATGACAGCAGTGTTACTAAGTATATACTGTATATTGCCCTAGTTTGAGGGCTTTATTCTGGACTAGCACTTGATTACTGTCTTATGTAGTGTGCAGACACATTTAAGGACACTGTCTATCATATATGTCTTGGCTGTTACAATTTGACTTTATAAATGTACTCTCATCTGTAAGGTTTTTATGTCTGGCAGGCACTTGAAATGATAATGACTTTTTGGTGGCCTATGCACCTATACTTTCCATCCAGTGAATGCAACAGCTGCACTTGGACCTATTTCAAACCTGCTGTGCATTTGCATATACCTCTATGTTGATCATTGCAGACATCTAAAATTGTCCATATTTCATATATTGAGAAGATTATTCTGTCTATATTTAAAAGAAATCTTGAGGTGGTAAATACATCTGATGCATATGTGATCTTTGAAATCTCAGCAAATGGTTTACACAAAGCATTTTGTTCGTAGTCTTAATTTGTGGCTACGTTCATATGCTAGTATGGAAGAGTGGGTTTTCCAAGGAATATTAACTTATGCTTTGGTCTTTTAGATGTTATATGTATGCAAATGAATATACTGTACCTTTTTATGTTAATGGTTTAATTTTCCGTTTTAATATATATTTTCCCTTTTTAGGAGGTTTGTTGAGCCCTTACTAAGGTTGTTGTTTGATATAGAGGCATTAGTACAAATCTCTGTTAAAAAGTAGAGATATGGAAAATGTGGAGATATAACTGTTGAACAAGGGGTTCTTAAACATTTTATTCCAAGGACCCAAGTAAGAAAATTGTTATGTTATTAAACCTGAGAAGATATTTATTAATAAATTATCAGCATAGTCACAAAAAGGCAAATAATAATGGTCACATAACACTTTGCAATAGCTTTTCATCATTTCTATAGGCTATAAAAAAAACTAAGAAATTAATTCACCCCATACATCTTTTTTTTTACTATTTCAGCTAGCTCTGGAATCCCTCCACCTCACAACCTTGTCTGTATAACCCCCCCAACCTCCTTACAGACGCTTTAGTACTCCATATGTATCTGTGCTGTCAATCATAATATCAGCAATATTAATTCAATTGCTTCCCAGATTTTGAGATGATTGCTAATGTCATCACTGAGAATGTTTATTCCATGTACATCCCACAGAAAAAATCTCCCTTTGTGATGCACTATCTGAATTTATTATATAGATTATGCCTTGGAACGTTGTAGGAAAGGATGCAAAACATAGATAAATATAATGTACTATAACACTTTATACCAATTATGCCCTTGGACAAAGTAGGCTAGGTTTACTACAGAATAATAATAATAATGAAGATGCCACAAAAGTAGGTGGATCACACCTACATAATTACTCTCTGTCTAATCATAAATAACGATGTGGGTTATAACCGAACAATATTAAAGCACAAAAAAACAACCGTAAGAAAAGGCTGTGAAAGAACAGTTTTAGATAAACCCAGGAAGAGTAGTTCAAAGTACAAAAAAATTGTTATTATAAATCTCACAATAAGATGAAACCTTGCAAAATGAAAAAACACATATCACAAATAATTAAGAGATCAGCAATCCGCATAACGATATCAACAGGCTGTCAATAATGGTGTGATATATAGTATGCCAATAATCACGAGTGTACTCTAAACAATATAATACATGACCCTGTAAAGCTATTGAGAAGCAAAACATAGACCGTCGACATCATAAAAAAATGTTGGAAGAAAAAATATATTGGTAGGAATCTGAGTGATATAGGTTCCGGTCATCCTATGCATAGGAATTACTAAGGATTGTGTATATAATCCAAAGGAACACAATTCAGTCAGTCCAGTATCCATATAAATAAAGCATAAGGGTCTGAAATGATGTTATGTGCCAGTCATTATATAGTCATCATGTGCTTAAGATCAGGAGAATGCATGGCAGTTCCAGCAGAAGTATAAGTCACATAGTTACATAGTTAGTCTGGCTGAAAATACAAAAGTCCATCAAGTTCAACCATAAAAAAAGAAAAAAAAAGTTAGGATCCCATACCCACAGTTAATCCAGAGGAAGGCAAAAACACCCAGCAAAGCATTATCCAATTTGCTCCTGCTGGGAAAAACATTCCTTCCTGATCCCCCAAAATGCAAACGGATATTTCCTGGATCAACTTTACCTATAAATGTTATTATCCAGTTATATTCTGTGTATCTAAGAAAGAATCCAGGCCTTTTTTGAAGCAATCCAGAACCAACTCTTGAGGGAGTCTATTCCACATTTGCACAGCTCTCACTGTGAAGAAACCTTTCCATGTTTGGAGAATAAATTTATTTTCCTCCAGACATAAAATGTGCCCCCTTGTCCTCTGTGATGACCTCAGGGTGAATAGCTCTACACTATATGAACCACCGATGTATTTACACATGTTGATCATATCCTCCCTTAATCTCCTCTTCTGAAGAGAGAATAAATTCATTTCCTCTAATCTTTCCTCATAGCTGAGCTCCTCCATGCCTCTTATCAGTTTAGTTGCCCTTCTGTGTATTTTCTCCAGTTACCCAATGTTCTTTTTGTGAATTGGAGCCCAAAACTGAATTGCATATTTCAGATGAGGTCTTACTAATGATTTGTACAGGGGTAATATGATATCTCTCTCTCTGGAGTCTATACCTCTTTTAATACAAGAGAGGATTTTGCTTGCTCTAGAAACCACAGCTTGGCATTGCATGCCATTATTAAGCTTGTGATCTACCAGAACTCCCAGATCCTTCTCCACCATTGGTTCCCCCAGTTGTACCCCCCCTAGTATGTATGACGCATGTGAGTGCTCCCTGGGAGTGTGCGGCACCGCGAACAACGATCGCTGTATGGGACCTCTGTGTGAGGTCCCGATCATGTGATCACTGATTGGCCAACCAGTGATCAAATGAATAGTAGTAAGCAAGATGTCACATTAGTTGTCCCTTAGAACCAGTACAGCTCCCAACTCCACTGACTGGGTCTCACATGCAGGGAAACAATACACACCACCCCAGGAACCTGGGAAAGAAACCTTCCAAGAAACGAACCCAGAAAATCCCAGATTAGAAGTGCAAAGCCTCAGCCAGGAAGACTCCCAGAAGAACTAATAGGCCCACCACCTGTGGTCTCCATTCAAGTGGGGGCAGCACAGTGGCTAAATGGTTAGCACTTCCGCCTGGCAGTATTAGGGTTGTTGGTTCAAATCCTAACCATGGCACCTCCTGCCTGTAGTCTGCATGTTCTCCCTGTGCCTGTGTGGGTTTCATCCAGGTACTCTGGTTTCCTCTCATACTCCAAAGATATGCTGGTAGGTTAATTGGATCCTGTCTAAATATGTGTATGTATGAATGTGAGTTAGGAACCTTAGATTGTATGCCCCTTGAGGGTTAGGGATTTATGTGAATGTACTTTATATATATGTAAAGCGCTGCATAAATTGACGGCGCTATATAAGTACCTGAAATACATAAAAATATAAGTGGAGGGAATGTACAGCAAGGCATTGCTGGACACTGGAAGCCAGGTTATTCTACCATATAGGGATTTTTTATGACAAACACTTGAAACACACATGTAACGGAACCGACCCTCTGGGTCTGCGCTTGGATACTTCCGTTACATGTGACTACCGCTTCCCTGTTCAAACACCGACAACAGACACCACAGCAGAAGATACAAGACTAGATGACACTAGTCTTGAAGTAAACCAGGAGGTAGACTACTTTATTTGAACACAGATACAAGATATGTACACTGGGGATAATCCCCCCTCCCTGCACAGGGTGGGGCAATCTACATTTAGTAACAAGAGACACACTGGTATTCATACTTCACACCAGCAGACAGTCCCATCAAGGGTGGAGACACCCCCCCCCCCCCACTAAGCTAATACACATAAACAAACATATACATCCCATAATAGTTTGCTCCCAAGCAAGACACACAATAGAACAATGGGATGCAACCAGGGGCGGACTGACAACTCATGGGGCCCCTGGACAATAGGAGATTATGGGGCCCCTGTGTCCTTGCCCAAACTCAAAAAGCCTATGAAAAAGGTACCAGGGGCATCTCATGGGGCCCCCTACTGACCTCGGGCCCTCGGGCAGTGCCTGAGTTTCCAAATGGTCAGTCCACCCCTGGATGCAACCACATTTATTTATTTATTTCAGGTACTTATATAGCACCATCAATTTATGCAGCGCTTTGCATATATATTGTACATTCACATCAGTCCCTAACCCTCCAGGGGCATACAATCTAAGGTCCTAACTCACATTCATACATACACATACTAGGACCAATTTAGACAGGAGCCAATTCACCTACCAGCATGTCTTTGGAGTGTGGGAGGAAACCGGAGTACCCGGAGGAAACCCACGCAGGCACAGGGAGAACATGCAAACTCCAGGCAGGTGGTGCCGTGGCTGGGATTTGAACCAACAACCCTAGTACTGCCAGGTGGAAGTGCTAACCATTTAGCCACTGTGCTGCCCACATGACATTAAACAATCAACAACCCCCCCACCCCAATATTAGGACAGAACACCCTGTACCCCTAACAGGCACAGGGTGATTTACACATAGGAGGGATATGGGGAGCTGAGATAGGGGTCTCCCCACCTCTCCAAAGTAAGCTGGGTTCCATGGGCCCCCCACCCAAAGTGACTCCTGTCACAATATACCTCTACATTAGCTGGAAGAGCTAGATATTTGGGGGATTGGGACCCAGAAGTGTCTATAAGACGGCTACATACCCGTTCGTCTGGTCTTCAGCCCAACTCTGACCGGGAGACCCGAAACTTCCGACACTCTGCAGTAGTGTGTCCTAGGCCATCAAGGATAAAACAGTGCTCCCTGCTGATCAGGACCAATACCAACCTGGTTCACAGGCTGCTCACTCTGCTGGCAGAATGTGATACCCATGGAGAGTATTCACCCACAGCTATGTCAAATCTATCAGAGGGTTGTTCAAGAGCTTAGGGCCCCTGAAAAGGAAGTGGGAAAGGCATGGAAAAATGAACCTGAAGAGAAAATACTCCAGCCAGGGGTGGTTACATGTCTGAGAGCTCGAATCAAATTGACCAGGGTTCAACCAGAGCCCTTTGTAGTACTGGAAATGGATTACACAAGAGGGACAGATGGAGTGGAAATAACTCCAGAGGTGATCACCACGAAGGCTGTGGAGTGCAACAGACATAATATCCTTGTCAGAGTCTGCAACAACACTGCAACCCCATCACCCTCAAGCCCAGGGCTCTACTGGGGCAAGTGAATGTAGCCAAGCCAGTAAGTATGTCTGAGTTACCTGAGGACCCAAGTAGGGGAGGATTCGTCCTTCAGGATTCCCCTCTGTTGGAGGAGTGGAAACGAAGGGCAAGATATGAATCTGGTTGAAGTCCTGTCCTTGTCTACTTATGAATCCCAGTAAGTCTTTCAACAGAGTCTGTGTAACTGGGCTGCAGGACACTGCCATCTTGTGTCCATTTAATATTCTGCAGCCAGTATTACAGCAGGGTGATACACACTCCCCCCACTTAAAGTCCTTGGTCCCCAAAGTATTAACAAACTAACAACATTTGATGCACACTTAGCATGAATATAACTCCTTTAGTCAGGAGGAATAACAATTGGTAAATACTTATGGTGAAGCAAATTTTGCAGAAAAGTGTCAGGAATGGACTCACCACAGGTGGTGCTGGGGTTCACCTACCTTGTGGGCTGCAGTACCAGTGCTGGCCAGCGGGTGCTCTCAGCAGCCAGAAACTTACTCCTGCAATCAAGCCATCACCTGAGGCTGATTGCAGGAGGTGTATTTAAGCAATGGCCAGACCTGCAGTCAGTGCTTTGGTGTATTGTTTCCCATGAGCTCCTGTACCTGTTCCTGTCTGCCTGCCTGCCTGTTTCCCCTGCTTGACTCTGACACTGATTGAACTCCACCTGCACTGACCTCGGCTACTCCTGACCTTTCTCCTGCCTGCTCCGTTTGTACCTTGTCTGCCCGATTGTACCTGACCCTGCCTGCCTGACCACTCTACCTCTCCAGCCTGACTACGCCTGTCTGTGTTCCTGAACATCCTGACATTAGTTGGAGGTTTGGTTTTTGTTTGTACTGTGTGTTGTATACTTGTGTAGTTCCTAAATTATTTATATTCTTATACATCACTCCTGGAGCCTGCGTTTCCCTGTGTCAGTCCACACACCTCTGGTCATACCTGGAGCCCTGACAAAAAGACTCCCACCAAGGGTTAGGAGATTCTGTCCGATTTTGAGGAAGGGTCATACTTTTTAAGACCTCCTTGGATGGTGTCATCAGGAGGGCTTACAGACTCTTGTATACACTCCAATATGCTACACACAGGAGCTTCTAGAGTTCTTTGGCTAGCATGGAATGCTTCCTCTGAGCTTTTTCCCAGAATGTCATAAGTCAGTCTCTTGGGTGCCCTTATCTCCCTCCTTTCTCTTGGTACCATCTGGGAGGTACCATTAACTCCAGCTCCTATGGTGCATTCCTCCTGTCCATCCACAAGCTTAGAGTCTTCCTCAGTCACAGGCTCCATTTTAGTACATCCTGAAAAATCTGTTTCTGGCTCAGGAAGCATAAAGGGATCCCAAAAATTACTCATCGGCCCTTGAGGTGGTGGGGGGGGGGGGGGGGTGGTAGTGCTACATACAGATACACTTTAATTTATCGTATTAAATAGTTAACTAATTATTTCATGTTTAAAGTTCAACTCTAGAACTTTCCTTTCCATCCATTTTGACCAAGAGTACATTGGTAGCAAAGCAAAAGGAGTGTTACATTTTTATATTTATACCACAAAAATCTCCATGTGTGATGAGTAGTGTTTCCAGTATTACCACTTCCCTTGTTTACCCAACCTCTTAATTAAACCCTAAGGTTAGGTTCACACTGTTGCAATCCGATTTTGATCTAACTTGCAACTTGGATGCAACTTTGATGCAACTTTGAATAGTCTGCGTATTCTATGGGGCCAAAATTGTGCTGGATCGTACCAAAATAGTAAAGGAACCTTTTCCAAAATTGTATTTGTATTGATGTGAACAGGCACTAGTGAAAACAATGCAATTGCCATTCGATTTTGTGCGACCCAAGTAACATCTGAAATCTCACTAATGTGAACAGAGCCTAAATGATCAATTCACTTCCTCACTAACACAACCTTAAGACTTAATAACCTCACCCTAACCTAAGAAAAGAACACCAGACCAAATAAGTGATTATTTTGTAAACTCTGTAAATACATTCAAATAAGCTGTTTAAATATACTGTAGTGAAATGTATAAATGCACCTGCTGGGACTTGCTTTAGTATGCAAATAGGTCACAATGACAAACCTAAAAAACCACAATTATTTTTGTATGATGGCTCTACATTAATCATTAATTACAATTCTATGAAATGTTATATTAGCCTGTGAATAGCTCACTGAACTTGAACTCACCCTGTTTCACATTTATAGACTGCTTCAGAGCCAAACAAAAAGTCTGTCACGTTGTATACTGCATTTTTTACTTCTTCAGGTCTTCCACAAGATATTCCTAGGATAAACACAAAATTAATGTATTCACTAATACAGCATATACATTTACTGGTAGTTTTAGCATACTGAATTCTGTTAAGCTTTTCTAAGTTTATGTAAATCACCTACAAAGCAAAGGAGGCAGCAAAATTGACATATGAAGGGAGACAAATACATGAATACATATACTTTTCAGTGCCTTTCACAACTGAAGTTGAGTCTCTTAACATGTGAAATACCACAACTTGGATGCAATATAAATCATGAAGAAACCAAAACTATGGCAAGCACAACTGCAGGGTAGTGTTTACTATTTTTGCTTGCCCATGTTGTGCTTTTCCCCTTTTCTAACACACACACAGTATGCAGAGCTAAAAATAATTTACCAATTTTAAAGAGAGAACAAATTAACACAAAACAGAAATGTGTCCACAGAGAAAATATAAATAATGTATTGACACATCTAGACTTGTGTTCACAGTCACACAGTAGTCATTTCCACACTGACAACACCAGGCGTAATCCATACTGTACTGGCTCAACTAGATGTGCGCAGACACAATCAGTATCATACTGACGCAATCAGATAAATATCTGCAGACCAGGGGTGGACTGACCATTTGGAAACTTGGGCACTACCCGAGGGCCCAGGGTCAGTAGGGGGCCCCATGAGATGCCCCTGGTACCTTTTTCATAGGCTTTTTTGAGTCTGGCCAAGGGCACAGGGGCCCAATGATCCCCTATCGCCCAGAGCCTCATGATCCCCTATTGCCCAGGGGCCCCATGAGCTGTCAGTCCACCCCTGCTGCAGACACAGTTTGGAAGTGACAAAAATATAAATAGAGACTGACCTTTAATACAGACAGAGAATCTACAATGCTGCAATCAAAAAGTGGTCTGAAAAACAGCAAGAGAACAACCAAAACCACAGCAACAAAATGACTATCACCACTGCAGACAAGACGTGGCGATCTCTTTGGTCAGTGAATTGCCATTTTTACAACCAGGAAATGACCACAACAATAATACCCCTACAAATAGGAAGTGCCCCATGTAATGATCATAAAAATTATTTAATGCTAAAAAATACTGTTTCCTCATAATTTTGAGAGATTGGCATCAGTGTTGGAAAAGATCGGGCAGGATATAATTATTTTGAATAATCTGTTTGTTTTTAAAGAAATGAATAAGAAAATCAGGTCCTGAAATGGTCTTAAAATTAGGGGCTAACTTAAAAAGCAATGAGCTTAGGAAATTACTTTGTGGTGTACTAAATACAGAGGCATACCTACAGGGGTCATAGGGGTCGCAATTGCAACCCGGCCCCCCTGAGCACCTGGATAGGAGGAGTGGCTGGGGCGACTGCATATAGAGGAATCAATCTCTCCATGTTCCTCTTGCAGCCGCTGAATGCCTACATTCAGCGGCTGCAGGAGGAACATGGAGAGATTGATTCCTCTATATGCAGCCGACCTACTGCTCCTTCTATCCAGCTTCTTTCTGCTGCCCCGGTGCTCTTCGCCCACTCCCTCTCTGCACCCATGCTCCTTAGCCCCCCTGATCTGCGGCTCCCGTTCTCCTCAGCCCTCCCCTGCTCTTCGGCCCCCTGAACTACGGATCCTGTGCTCTCTGTCCCCATGCTCGGGTCCCCCGTGCTCTCAGGATCCCCCCTCCCCCACAGCTCTGATAGTTCCCCCCTCCCATCTCTTGCCAGCTGCTGTGGGGGATGTATCAGGATGGAGAGCAGGGAAGGGGCTGGTAAATGTGTGTCCCTTCCTTTGCTCCATGGACAGTCAGATCGATACTGATCACTGACTCTGTCCATTCATAACTGAAACATGGTAAATGAGGTTTCCTATGCTTCAGTTTATGAATGGACAGGAAGCTCTGTACAGAGCTATCCCTGTCCATTCATTCTGTCTGCTGAGGATGCAGAGATGGCAATTGAGGGCTGTGTCCTAATCTCCTTTCTTGAGCTTGGAGGGCAGGACCCCTGGCCAGGGGTCAGGGGGGGCCTTCATGGTTTCTATGCACCAAGGCCCTGAAGGTTCTAGTTATGCCACTGACTAAATATGATCTACTGAATATTTGTAGCTGTAACCTAAGAAATGGATATGAATAATGTCCACTTGCTAACTCTGACTGCAATTGTGTTAATATGATAGTCATTTTATGGCTGTAGCAATGCTTATCGTGGCACAGTATGCAGCCTGTGTTATCTATAAAATTAAAGTATTTGTATCAGCAACACTTTTTCTTTGAATTTTAGATATAGAAGGGAAGGGTTAAAACCCCTGACAGTTTGTTTTTGCTGTCTGCATGTAAGCTGGGCTACCGGGGGTACCTTGCCTCGTGTAAGGGCTCATCAATACCATTTCAACCATGTGAAAGCCAACATTAAGGAAGAGCCCTGGCTTACAGATGAGCCATACACCATGTGCAGTAGTAATACTTACCAAGTCCCTCTGTGAAACATCCTGTCTCGTGTCACTACACACCTTTATGTATGTTGCATACACAATGTTGCCACTGAGCCTGTGCCCTCTCCACTAGTGATGAGCCAAACACCCCTGTGTTTGTTTCGCGGTCGAACATTAGAACCTAATGAATGTTCGACCACGAACTTCGAACTCAATGGACTCGAACTTGTAAACTCAAAAGTGCTCATTTTGAAGGCTTATATGCAAGTGATTAGCCATAAAAGGGGTATGGGGACTCCGATACTGCCCTGAGGGACATGAATTAGTGAAACATAATTTTCAAAAAGAACAGGTTTTTAAAGGGGCAGTCATTTTTCATTGCTTAAAGTAAAAAAAAAGAAAAAAAAGAAAAAGTTCCTTTAACCACTTGCCTACTGCCCTATAGCAGATAATCTGTGGTGTAAAGCATGCCACTTCTAGACTCTAGAGCAGTGGAGACATGTTCTCTGGAGTGACAAATCACGCGTCTCTGTCTGGCAATCTGATGGACGTGTCTGGGTTTGACGGTCGCCAGGAGAACAGTACTTGCCCGACTGCATTGTGCCAAGTGTAAAATTTGGTGGAAGGGGGATTATGGTGTGGGGTTGTTTTTTCTCAGGGGTTGGGCCTGGCCCTTTAATTCCATTGAAGGGAACTCTTAAGGTGTCAGCTTACCAAGACATTTTGGACAGTTTCATGCTCCCAACTTTGTGTGAACAGTTTGGAGATGGCCCCTTCCTGTTCCAACATGACTGCACACCAATGCACAAAGCAAGGTCCATAAAGACATGGATGAGTGAGTTTGGGGTGGAGGAACTTTACTAGCCTGCTCCTGACCTCAATCCGATAAATTTGGGATGAATTAGAGTGGAGAATGCAAGCCAGGCCTTCTCGTCTAACATCAGTGCCTGACCTCACAAATCCGCTTCTGGAACAATGATTAAACATTGTGGACAGGCTTCCCAGAAGAGTTAAAGCTGTTATAGCTGCAAAGGGTGGGCCAACTCAATATTGAACCGAACGGACTAAGACTGGGATGCCATTAAAGTTCATGTGCATGTAAATGCAGGTGTCCCAATACTTTCGGCAATATAAGGTATATACTGTATATCAGGGTGGAGGGCAGGCCCATAAAAAGCCAGGGAAACTGGCATACCCAACGTTAACCCTTCCCCACCCGGTCACCCAAAACTCTAGCTAATGCTACACCATCTTGTAGGCATCTGCCTACATGCATCCTCTTAGGAAGATTTCACATCTTCTGCTGAAGGTGCAACAGAGAGTATGAAGAGATATGTCCAACGTGAGCCGAAATACCCTCTAAGTTGTCACCAAAACAGTTGTCCCCATGTGTGAGAACTGTAACATTTAGATTTCCCAGCACTTTCTATTAAAATTTCGATTTGTAATGGTCACTTGGGCAAATAGGGTGAATCTCTTCAGCGGTGACACAGACACCAACAAAAACCTGACAAGAGTTTTAACTTTCCCCTTAACAAAGAATTTGGTTTATACATAAACAAAGTATATCTAAAGGCAAAACTTTTTTTTTTTTCTAATTTTGGAAAGAATGGAGAGGGATTATAAGGTTTGTCAGTTTTTATTGCCGTCTCCATCCCCATTGAGGAGATTCCCACTCTTGCCCTCTCTTTGTCCTTTTTGCTACTGTCATTAAAAGTGAAGGAAAAAGAAAACCCCAAATTTTGGGTTGTCCCCTGAAAAGTAATAGAGAGCAAATATTCCAATGGAGCAGGGGCGGACTGACCATTTGGAAACTCGGGCACTGCCCGAGGGCCCGGGGTCAGTAGGGGGCCCCATGAGATGCCCCTGGTACCTTTTTCATAGGCATTTTTGAGTTTGGGCAAGGACACAGGGGCCCCATGATCCCCTATTGCCCGGGGGCCCCATGAGTTGTCAGTCCGCCCCTGCAATGGAGACACCAGTTCTAGTGACCTGGGGGTCCCCAAGAGGTGCCCTTAATTTGCAGAGATTTCCTCTCACTTCCTATTTGGCTATTGGATAGAAAGTGAAGGGAAGTCTCTGCAATGGGACACAGATGGCAAGAAAAAAAAAAGAATCTGAAGGGGTCATAACCCTCCCTTGCTCTATCCAAAATCATAAAAAAAGCTTTGCCTATAGTTCTACTTTAAATCTTAGTGCAGTTCAATTACAGTTTCCTGATTTTGATAATTGCAAATTATCATGCTAATTATAATGTGGTACCTCAATGTAATTCATATGGTGTTTTTACAGCCCAGCCACATTGGATCGGTACCGATCACTCAATGTATTCATAACTGAAGCATAGAAAACTGCGTTTACTATGCTTCTGTTTATGAATGAACAGGATGGCTGTGCAGAGCTCTTCCTGTTCATTCATTCTGTGCAGCTTATGCTGTACAAAGAAACTGGGGTATCAGTTTCCTCAGTCCCTCTTTCTGTCTCTAAAGTGAAACTTCAGCTTCAGCAAAAAAAGTGTAAAAAACATGTTTAAAAAATGCAACAAATTAAAAAAAAATAAAAAAAATTAACAATGTAAAAAAATAATAATTAAAAAAACAAATCAAGACCCACTCAATGTGGATGAGCAGTTTGTTTGTGTCACTGGCCTGTTACTCTATGGGGACTCGGCGGCTATATGAAAACAGCCAGAGGGGTCTTAGTTTGACAGGTGTGCAGGTGAGGGGCCCTGGATGCATACTGTCTGTGTTCGGGGCCATACACGTGCATCCACATGTCTGTCAAATTAGGACCTGCAGCTGTGTTTTATACAGTTGCTGCTTTCTCATAGTGTAACATAGGCTCCTATACACAGCTCCAGACACACACAGGGCACAGCACTCATGTGAATGAGCTTTATTTATTAGCTCAGTACAGTTTTATCTTTTAGATTTAACAGAAATTTAGTAAGTTATGTTGTGTTTGTGTCTGCTAATAATAATTTTATTGCATTTTTGTGAAAAGGAAATGATGACACAGGATATAGTCAGAAAACTCACAGAAAAAAAAAACAGCTAAACTCGATATGAGTTTAAAAAAAAATGCATATAAAAATGCAAGAAAAGGCAGGGTAATGCATATCAGTTTTTTACCTTCATTTTGTATGCACACAAGTGTGACCCATACTTAAGAAGCTACCATATTGTAAACTCTGTTACATTCCTGTGTGTGGCAGAGAGTGATAGAAGCATTTCTTTTTAATGGTAAGAATTGTGTGTTTTTTTATTACAATATGTGGTAACAACTACTGTTTGTCTGTGTAAAGTGCAGAGTTTGCTTGCCTCAGTGATGATAACAGTCAGTTTGAAAATCTCTATGTAGTGAGGCTAAGTGTAATATTAGGGGTTATTTACTAAAACTGAAGTACAAATCTTGTGCAACGCTGCATATAAACCAATCAGCTTCCAGGTTTTATTGCCAAAGCTTAATTTGAACAAGCGGAAATTAGAAGCTGATTGGCTACCATACACAACTGCACCAGATTCGGACTGCACCAGCTTTAGCAAATCTACCCCATTGTCACATTTACACCTTACAGTAGGTTACCCCTAAACATATATTCTATACTTCATTCACTATAAATCCATTGGCATGATAAACATGTACTCAAAATTTTGAATACTGATTTTAAGAAACAATAATTTAAATTAAGTAGTACATTGTATACTTACGGGAACAGAATTGCACCGGGTGTGACCATTCAAAGTTTCCCAAGCACATTAAAGTATTTTTATAGTGCTGCTTAGGAGTGTAGCCTTTCCTGCAAGTGTATAGAACTTCCTCATACTGAAAGAAGGTTTTTTTTGTCCAAAAATGTGTGATTCGGTATTGCATATGTAAGTTCTGGGGGTGCATGACAGATACCTGCAAAAAAAAAGCAGATTGCATGCAGTCAATGTTTCTTTTACTATACATACACATTGGAGATTTATATATATATATATATATATATATATATATATATATAATTATGTAATTGTCTAACATAATGAGGAGAATTTATCAAAGTTGGAGTAGCCAAAATCTGGAGGATCTCTGCATGCCAATCAATCAGCTTCTATCATTTATTTTCAAAACTGAATATAGAAGCGGATTGTTAGTATATACACAGCTGCTCCAGATTAACTCTTCTGCAATTCTGGTAAATCCCCCCCCCCAATGAACCTTTAGATAGATTGTTAAAGAGACTCTTGCTAGACCATTCAGTTCATTCAATAATCAAATAAAATGTATATATGTTAATTACCTGCAAAACTCTTTCTTGTGCAGACATCCAAAAGGCATGAGACTGGTAGGTGATATCATCATGGATATGATACCATTAGCACCAACAGACCCAGATCTGTCACTCTAAATGCACTCTATAGTATTCCATTTCACTCCTTCCCAAACAGCTACATAAGAAGTTAAGTAGGTAGATGAATGGAGGGGTAACGGGGGGCTGGGGCAGCATGGAAGATAATTAAACATTTCCAAAAGAGGATATGGATCATACGTGCAAAACAGAGAGAAGGCTGTGCTAACGAATTGACTCTTACTGGAGTAATCGAATTGTCTCTTACTGGAGTAATCAAATTTTCTAGCACGTTCTAAGGCACATTGCAAGTGAATAAAAAATAAATCATTTATGGAAAGGAAAAATATTGGAAGTAAGCATTTAAAATGTTAAATTTTTTTCTGTGCTTTTACCTGCAATTTTTAGGTTGGTGATAATATCTCTTTAAAATATATTTACAAAAAAACTGCTCTTAGTGCTTGAGTGATTTTTTTTAACATACAGGATTACTGTTTATTGTAATAATGGCATAGTAGAATAATAGCAATGTACAAAACAGTACAAGGCAGCACAGTGAGACAGCAGTATCTGAACACATGTAACAGGAGATACAAATCAAATCAGTGCAACCTATCAAATTCATAAGGGACAAGACTCACGCTAAGTAAGGGGGGGAGAACTCCCAGAGAAGGTACCAGGTACACTGTCTCCTTTTTTTGCATAGTGCAGTAGGTAAGAGATGAGCAATTTCGTGTAGTGAGGCCTTTGTTCATCATCCTGTATACTCAGCTTGAGTGATATTTAAATAAAAATTTGATATAGCTAAACTCCAAAACATCTAAATGCTAGTGCTCAGAAAGTACATAGTATAGTTGTGCTGTGTCTTTAAAACTATGTGAAATCTTATCACTTTTAATGACTCAACAGAATATAATAATACATAAAAAATCCTTAGATTGAAACTATTGTGGGTTCCACCATCGTTGCAATATTGTAATCAGTTAAAGTCCAAATATGAACATTGAGTGAATACCATCACCAGTCCAATGATGCACTAAAACGTTCAAATAAAGTCAAGCAAGTGAAACTTAATTTTCAGGTGAGTTCCAACACCACTCCAAAGCTGCAAATGGCACTAATCCATTCACATGAAAATTATATGAGCTCCACCACCACCGAAACATGCAGCATCTTTTGCTCAGACCCCAAATTATAGGTGGTCTGAATAGCACTCTGGATCAGGGGTCTCACATCCTAAACATGGGAAACACAGGGCACACCAGCAAGGATTACAGTGGCAAGATGTCTCAGAAGCATTTGGAAACCACTGGGAACATCAGCAGGGATTCAGTAAAGACATCTCCCCTCTGCCTGGTGCACATGTGTTAGTAGCCGAGTCTGAAATCCATAGGAGGTGGGATAGAGTCAAAAAGAAAAAGACAATTTATTTAGTAAACAATGGATAAATTGCACTTACAAGATAAATAGTTAAAAAGACTCATCGTGTGTTAATTAGATCCAGGTGGAACATCCAGCCGTCCAGCAGCAAACTCTGTCTATAGGATCAGGAAGTAGAGTCCAGGATGTGCCTGTGCCTGTGCATTTTATACCTGTACGATGCAGGAAAACATGTAGGTCCTTAGGACCGAGGAACTACTTTCCTCCCTCCCATTCCCTTCCCATTCCTCTCACACTATAAAAATGCCAGGGTCTACTGGGGCTCGGGTCTGAAGAAGGAGCCTATTAAGCATGCTCCAAAATGCATTACCGCCTTCTTCACCTCCTACATCCGACTCTGCTCTCCTAGCTTCATTTTGATGCACAGACGCATCCTGGACTCTACTTCCTGATCCTATAGACAGAGTTTGCTGCTGGACGGCTGGATGTCCCACCTGGATCTAATTTCCACATGATGAGTCTTTTTAACTATTTATCTTGTAAATGCAATTTATCCATTGTTTAATAAATAAATTGCCAATACTGCACTTAGAAGTGCCTTCCTCTCTTTTTCTTGTTACTGCATTAAAGCCTTGCTTCCACTCTAAGAATAACTGCCTCAGTGTTACTGCTCCCATCCATCCGTCCATCCATCCCTGATATCCATCTGGCACCTTTATCCTACAGCTACAGAGGTTGGGCTCCAACAAGCGCACCCTATATAATATACATTTTCTGGTGGGAAAGAGTCGGACTCGGCTACTAACACATGGCAGTCACTGTGCATCATGCACCACCTATACAGTTGCAAGAAAAAGTATGTGAACCCCTTGGGATTACGTGCAGTTTTGCATGAATTGGGCATAAAATTTGCTCTGAACGTCATCTAAGTCACAACAATAGAAGAACACAGTCTGCTGAACATAATACTACACAAACATTAGATGTTGCCATGGTTTAATTGCCCATAACATGTAAACATTCACAGTGCAAGGGAGGAAAACGTATGTGAGGCCCTAGCTTAATGACTTCTCCCAGAGCTAATTGGAGCCAGGAGTGAGCCAACCTTGACTCCAATCAGTGTGATGATATTGGATGTGTTGCTGACAGCTGTCCTGCCCTTAAAAAATACACACCTGTTTTGGGTTTACTGGTTTCAAGAAGCACTGTCTGATGTGAACCATGCCTCACAGAAAAGAGCTCTCAGAAGACCTACGATCAAGAATTGTTGACTTTCATGAAGCTGGAAAGGGTTACAAAAGTATCTCCAAAAGCCTTGATGTTCATGTGTCCACGGTAAGACAGACTGTCTACAAATGGAGAAAGTTTAGCACTGTTGCTACTCTCCCTAGGCGTGGTCGTCCTGTAAAAATGACTGCAAGAGCACAGCGCAGAATGCTGCATGAGGTAAAGAAGAATCCCAGAGTGTCAGCTAAAGACCTACAGAAATCTCTGGCACATGCTAACATTTTTGTTGACACATCTACAATAAGGAAAACATTAAACAAGAATGGAGTACATGGGAGGACACCACGGAGGAAGACATTGCTGTCCAAAAAGAATATTGCAGCTTGTTTGAAGTTTGCAAAAGAGCACCTGGATGTTCCACAGCACTACTGGCAAAATATACTGTGGACAGATGAAACCAAGATTGAGTTGTTTGGGAAGAACACACAACACTATGTGTGGAGAAAAAAAGGCACAGCACATCAACATCAAAACCTCATCCCCACTGTAAAACATGGCGGCGGGAGCATCATGGTTTGGGGCTGCTTTGCTGCCTCAGGGCCTGGACGGATTGTTGTCATTGATGGGAAAATGAATTCCAGAGTTTATCAAGACATTTTGCAGGAAAACGTACAACCATCTGTCCGCCAACTGAAGCTCTGCAGAGAATGGGTGATGCAACAGGACAATGACCCAAAGCATACAAGTAATTCAACAAAACAATGGCTGCAACAGCACAGAATACGCCTTCTGGAGTGGCCCAGTCAGAGTCCTGACCTCAACCCGATTGAAATGCTGTGGCATGACCTTAAGAGAGTGATTCACACCAGACATCCCAAAAATATTGCTACACTGAAACAGTTTTGTGAAGAGGAGTGGTCCAAAATTACTCCAGATCGTTGTGCAGGTCTGATCTGCAACTACAGGAAACGTTTGGTTGAGGTTATTGCTGCCAAAGGAGGGTCAACCAGTTATTAAGTCCAAAGGTTCACATACTTTTTCCTCCCTGCACTGTGAATGTTTACATGTTATGTGCAATTAAACCATGGCAACATCTAATGTTTGTGTAGTATTATGTTCAGCAGACTGTGTTCTTCTATTGTTGTGACTTAGATGACGTTCAGAGCACATTTTATGCCCAGTTCATGCAAAACTCCACGTAATCCCAAGGGGTTCACATACTTTTTCTTGCAACTGTAGGTTAAATGTGGACTTTAAGGTGCTGGCTTATACACACACATAAGAATTGAATATAATTATGTCTAGAAGTATTAGTATCACCTGCTGATCATAACCAAGGACAACATAGTTATGTACATTATGGGACTGTCCCATTATGGGAGTCCACTAGAGTCGTTATCATAATGGGTAAGAAAATGTCCTGACACACTGTTTTGGGGAGCTCCATTTGCAACACTCGTCCTATGTTCCCCAAATTGAATGCAAAGAAACCCGATGTTCCTACTTACATATTAAAGAATGCAGGGGCAACCTAAACAGTAAGTAACAGGAAGATGAACGAGTCTGAAACTCATTGATATAAAAAAAAGTCTGACCTGAACGGTCCTTAAAGGACTGTTGGCCATGGTTGATGTAGGCACATGTCAAAAATTTAATTCCTGGCATTGGAAAATGCCCTTCAAGACAAGAAATGTAAGAATGTTGGTCATTGAGGATGGTCTGAGATTAATAGGCTATCACGTTTTTAATATTCCTAGGTTTCCTAAAGACTACTTTAGGATGATCCAGTACTAGGGATCAGACTTTAGGGTCACAGGAA